TCCAAAAGTCGATGAACAGAATCAACTTACCAAAACACCTGTTCACAATAAAACACCATAAGTTATAGTCGCAACTGGGAAACAAAATAGCCTGTACACCAGAAATTTACAAAAGTCGTTACACACGACTATTTCAAAAGTATCTGTGCACTAGTATTCCTAAAGTCGCTGTACACCTTCAATCCAAATGTCGCTGAACATCATTGTATCAAAAGTCACTAAACAGAGGTAAAGACAAAGTATATTTTTAATGTTGCCCCGTGTTAATATACTTTTGACGCTTATGTTGTTCAGCTACTTTTGGGACAGTGTTTGCTAGACCTTAATAATATATGTTAAAACATTAGTATCTACATATTTCAAAACTTATTTACAAATAAATTATATTTTATTGTCAGTAATCATACTAATCTATAATTTATGAAATAACATAAACATAACTCTGATGATCTACGAAGTGATTTTTGTGACGGTACTTGTAATTTACTTTGCGCAAATCTTACAAAACCTACCTTCCTTTAATTTATTATTTTTACCCGACTACGGCAATGCTAAAATTTAAAGAATTCGACATATGACATATCATTAGAAACGTCTTAATTGTCCGCTGGTTATAAGTTATAATAATATGATGTATTACAAAATCTAATGGGGCGTCCTCTAGCGGACAAAACAACCAGAGTAAAAAAATAAAGTTAAGATAATTATACCGTGTTTGGTATCATTTTAAAGCGCTTTACTTGTATATTTTGAATATATATATATATATTATTAGCATTTGCATTTGCAAATGAATACAAGCAAAGTCACAAGACTTTGCTTGTATTCATGTGCTGATTGCATATAATTCACATCTTTTCGTTCATACCTTTTACTACTTAATATTAGTTCATTTTTTTGTTGATATTATGCGACACAAATATACTTTAACACCAAAATAGTACAAATAATAAAAAGTATAAAAACTAAAACCCAACTACGACAAACACCGACGCTGAAAAACGCTGTTTTCTTTCTTATCTTGTTCGGAGGAAACGTTCGGGTGTCACCTAGCACAGGTCGCCCGGAGGACACGGTAGAATATACGGTGGAAGTGTGCCCCGCTTGGGCAGGAAGACAGTATTTCAATAAAATAACTGTTGCTATAATCACTCTTCTTACAACTCTTGATATTACAATCACAACAATTACAATTTAACTAAGGATAATTAAGATTAGGCTGAATTTGAACGTAACGTCCACCGAACACGTGGCCGCGTGGCCACGTGAATTCTACGAAGGTCCAACACTAATTGTCCTGTTTTACAAGAAGGCCGCCTCACCAGAGCTCGGTGTTCGCTATGGACTTGAAATAATTATGACAGTTGACAGTGAAGTTTGACATCGACGTATAACAAAGAGGTTTTACATGCACTGATGGCCAGTGCGCCGACATATACTTTGTTACCTAACCTAATTTTGTCTTTACCTCTGTTTAGTGACTTTTGAAACAATGATGTTCAGCGACATTTGGATTAAAGGTGTACAGCGACTTTAGGAATACTAGTGCACAGATACTTTTGAATTAGTCGTGTGCAACGACTTTTGTAAATTTCTGGTGTACAGGCTATTTTGTTTCCTAGTTGCGACTGTAACTTATGGCGTTTTATTGTGAACAGGTGTTTTGGTAAGTTGATTCTGTTCATCGACTTTTGGAGCTGACTGTACGTAAAAGAACACTAGTGTTGTTCCAGCGTCCTGGAGTAGCTGATCAATATAAAAATATAAAATTCGTATCTGGCCTCTCAAGCTAGGGCGACAATTTGTAGATCACATACATGTGGTTCCGCATGGGACCGAATGGACTCCTTCAAACTTATGACAGTATGAGTTTCATTTTAAGTTTGAAATGGCTCATACTCAACAGACGAACATTATAGCTGACGATTGTCACTCAATCAAGGTTGCAAAATAGCATGTAATATGATGCAATAAATATAGGTATCATGCACATCCAAAGAACTATGTGCAAAAATGTATGGGCTTCGTCCCATTCCAGTCCAGATTCCAACAATGATTCTTTGTTTTTAATTTTTTTTTATAAAAAGCACCCCGCTATAGGATTTTTCTGTGTTCTTATGATACTTTGGCCTGTTACCCAAAGAATGCGCCATTGTGACTGTGCATTAATATTCTGAAGATCATATCGATGCACCATGTTCTGTGGTTTCGAATTTTTTCTTTTCCCTACATAACATGAAATAAAATCTGCTGGTAAAAACGATGAAACGAAATGCCCGGGACATTTCTCCATACATTTTTTATAAGTAAGTTGTAATACTCGTAACTAAGCAAGTTCATAATGTTATATTTCTCGTTTAAAATAAAACGCATAAATATAGAAATAACAATGATTTCATTTTATTATTAACAGCAGTTGATTTCGTTTAGAAAGTTCACTACCTTATCCTCGTGCCAATATGAAAACATAACATAAATCTGAAAATTTCAAAGCAGATAAGACATGGACTCCATATAATTAGGGTGAATATAAAAAGAAGCATGTCACATAATCGTCGACAATTTTTGAACAAGAATAAACAGGGGTGAAACAAATTTGACAAACATGACTTTTTAGCTTTTTTAGCCATATATAAGTAGGGATTACAACCAAAATCAAGTGGGGTTCTGATTCGCTTTTTCTTAACTGCTTTCATTCGTTTTTTTGGATCTTTGTCTTGAATATGAAGCAAAAAGTTGGTACAGGAATTAGATTCTAATTGCTGCACCACTTTATGTTTCATTAACATTGATCGGGTTCTGTGTTTTATCCTTGCTGCGGGTTCATAAATATTTTTATCGTCAAAAACTGTACTCAGGCATTTACACGGATCTTTGATCACTTCACATAAGCCGCTTTTATGGTGCCTTACTGATTTAAATAATTTGATGACGGCATTTCCACAAATCTTGGCAGCGTCTACAATTGTTTCGGCTACTAAAATAGAATCCGACGCTTTGCTGCACTTATTTACTTGTTTCTGTGCATTTTTGTTCATTTGATATCTTAATCTTTGTCTAAACTTTTCATCACCATAACAACTTTTTTCAAGTTGATCTCTCTGGCATTTATCAGTCACTGGTCTTTGTTTCTTTATACTTTGTTGCTTGTCGCTTATTTTGTCACTTTCTTCTTTGAGTAGTTGTAGTTCTTTCTTAAGCAGTTTAATTTTTTTAACCTTTTCTAAAGCGTCAATAATTTTGTCGGATTCTTCTTGGCACATATTGCACCCATGTATAGATTCTACTAATTTTGCTTCGCTTCTAGTTAGTTTCATTTGAGACAACCTCAATTTTTCTATTTCCTTTGAACAAGCCGTACTGCTATAAATCCAAGGTTTTAATGTTTCACACCTACAGGAGATAGTCTCGTTTTTAGAGTTGCTGGACTTAGTAAGCCCATATTTATTGGCATTTGTAGATAAAAGATTGCATGTATATCCATATGTATCCGGTTTGACATGTGTGGTATTTTTCGCTATTTGAAATCCGATCGTAGAAGGGTTTAATTTGTTTTTTGCTGTACCTTGTTTTTCAAAAGTAAAAGCAGGTGGCTGCGTCTTGTATTTTGGCATACCATCAAACATGATATTGGGTTTATTTGTGCAAGGTGTAGTTTGAGAGAATTGTTTTCTTGTTCTTTTCTTGCGGTTCGGACAGTCCGTACGACGCTCACTTTGACTATGTTTACACTTGACTATTGAAGTTGCAGATACTTTAGTTGTTTTTAAACTTTTTGATCTCATTACTGAAGTTTTATCTTTTCTATGTGGATAAATAGCACAAAGAATTTCATCAGAAAATATAAGTCCAGCGTTGTCTTTGTTTAGTAGCATTTTTATGACGGATGGTGATATTTCTCCTTGTTTAATTGCTGTAATGAACACAATAGATATGAGTTAAAATAGTTAAATTGTTCAAGGAAAAGTAAAGTATGAAAAAATATATAAAGAGTTTAATTATCAAGTTGAATGTTGAAGTGGTTGAATGATCGAACTCGAATAAAACTTTGTTTAGGTGATTGTCTGAGGATTTGATGGTGATAAAATTTTTATAATACAGTGTAAGGACATAGGGTGATTTTTGTTTAAAATCTATGAAAATCCGTGGAAAATCCTCATGGAGACCCACCGCCCTCGGGTAAGGGCGAAGGTACTGTCAGACTCTTACTGACTAAAAACTAACCCGGTGTTCCTCCAATAACCCATATGTCGGAGGGGCGGGTATCGCCGAAGCATTCGTCACAACCCCCCGACGGGTATTGGCCCGCCAAATGGTAAGGTGGGCCCCGTCACCCACTGCGGCCGTCACCCCGACCGCAGGACTCCACTATGAGGCGCGCGCGGAACACGGCGCCGCCGCCTCGAGGCCTGCTGCTGGTCAGACGACAAGACGCCCCGAGTCTGTCGTCCACAGGCCACGCCCTACGGTGGCCGCAGGTCGGCCACCCTACGACGTCTAGTGCGTCTGCTGCGGGAGGGGGCAGTTGAGTATTCAACGTACCTGTTCTAACTCTTCTTATTACTTCAGCTTCGGTACAAGTGTGGCTTATGTACGAAGCTATATCACTTTTACAAATGATAATTTTCTTCTTATTTGTCAGCATTCTCTTCAATCGAGATCCTTTACTATCGAAGTAAATTTCATTGTCTTTATTTTTTATTATTTTCATTACGGATGGTGAAATTTCATGTGCTTTACCGGCTGCAAAATAGAAGTTGAGGTATGAAGGAATATAAATATAAGGTTTTTTTTGGATAGGAATACTACAGCTGTATACTACTTAACCGGACCAATCTTTGTGATGGCTTCTAGACTAAGCCAACAACACAATCTATTAACAAGCTAAAGGACCGCAAGCTGAGGGTAGGTACTCCTGTAGGGTTAGAACCTCAGTTCAGCGGGGCCATGGCCATGGCAGAGGGGCAGCAAGTTAAATTAAGCTAGGGAGAATTATTTACCCTCTACCAGAAAAGAACTTGCTTTATAGGTACCTTCATTGATCATTTTCATGTCACTGGCTGTCAAACTAATCAGTGCTTCATTCTTGGTGGCATCGTCTTTATTTTTGATTATTTTTATTATTTTAGGCAATAACTGACGCTTTCTAATGGCTGAAAATAATAGAAGTGCTATTAAAAAGTTCTATAGCTATTATTATTTCCAGTATTTTTCTAGAGTAAAACTACTTATTTGCTATGTTTTTATAATAACTATCGTGAGAAATACTAAATTAAGTTTCGAATCACAGACGACCCCTCTGTGGTTCGAAACTAGTAGAGCTTTTCTCAGTATAATCACGTAAGTAACCCGCGATTTTTAGTTAATTTAATTACTTGCTCATAAATATAATATTAAAGAGGTAATCTAAATATTTATGAAGAAGTTGTGTTTAGCAAAAAGTTGTAAGAGGTGGAACATGAATAATATAAGAAAAGGTCCACTGGTTTGCAAGTAACAACGATCTACGAGGTGGCATCACACGCTGCTCATAAATAAAAGTCCCGCTGTAACTTGAAACTAGTAGAGTTTTCTCATTTTCTTCGTGTGAGAAAATCATTAATATCTATAAATTATTTTGCATGGCAGCATGGCTTATGATGATATTCGTCTTAAGTACCTAACTATTCCAAAATGTTCGTTTTTAAAATAATTATTAAAGTATTATTTCGTACAAACGAACCTCTTTGGACTTTCTTTATCGTTTCGTCTTTGCCGTCTTTAGTGCGTAAACTTTTAATAACATCATTCATTACACTCTGTGGCAGTCGACCCTTGTTTACCGCTGAAAAATAATAATTATTTTTAATGCTTTTGTTTATAAGTTTATTGGTTTTACTAAGAATTACTTGCTTATTTGAGTTATTTTCTAACTTCTAGTGTTTTAATGGATGATAAAAAACAAAAAGAAAAACTATTTTATTCGTAACACATAAATTGTGATGTGTGATTTTCAATCCCATATATATATTAATCGATTTGCTAAGCAAAGTATTTTTCTTTTCAAATTATAATTTCACTTTATAAATACACCAAATATAGCGCATCAAAATTCATGCAGGTCGCATTAAATGTTTTACTAAAATAAGACCAGTAAGTACTTTATTTTGTTTTGAAATGAAAAAATAAAAATACTGTGGTTAGTAAGAACTACTTGTAGTGTCATCAAATGCATATATATGTGTGATTTCAATACTGTGTGGAAGTCGTAGGTAAATTACATACCAATGCGAAGATTTTTTATAATTTCAGATTTTTCTTTACATCTATCTAAGTTATCGAGTACATTATTCATGTCCCTGATTTGCTTTGCTTCATCTATATCTCTTATCACTTCCAAAGTGGAGGGCGATAATCGACCGATTGTGACAGCTGAAAAGATAAAATAAAACCTTATTTTGATTTTTTACATACGTATAAGTAACTAGCTTTTTCACGCGACTTCATTCGCGTGGAATAGTGACTTCCTGCTGATATTTGGTGTAAATACTATCCTGTGTCCTTTCTCGAGTTCCAAACTATGTCTGTACTAAATTTCACAGAAATCGGTTAAGTATTAAAAAATATAATAATATAACTTCAATCAAAATATAACATTTGTATAAAATAAACCATTATAGAGTCACCATTAAAGAAAACAAAAACCAATCATCAGATTTGAATACAGTAACAAACCATGAAGAATAATTAACGTATAATTACAAGTATTACATTCAAACGTTTAGCGTAAACGTTTACATAAACATACTTTATACTAAATTTCCTTCCTCAAATAAAACAGGAAACTATTATATGAACCGCAGAACTCGAAGTTAAGTAGCAGGAATGAACTCGAAATACGGCAGAACAACCAAGCTGCAAGCTGCTAACCTAGTGGTTGGAATCAATTTATCTTTCCAAATAAACGTTGCCCTACATTTTACAATACAGTACAGTATGGTACAGTATTTTCTCCCGTTGTGACTGTCGATTTGTTTCATTATGATGTTATGTATGTATATTATGTATTTGTTTGGTACAGTTATTTCAAAAATTAAGGTAAATATGACAACGATCACGTACTAATGACTATCTTAAATGTATGTACCTTGACGAATTTTCTTGACAACTTCAGTTTTTTTCTCACCAGGCCCTACGTGTGCGGCTATATCATCCACGACGGACGGCGACAATTTCTTTTTCTTCATAGCTTAAAAAAACATTTTAACTACATGTTTATTTTAGTAAAACTTTTAAAGAAGCTTTACAAGTCTCGATATTTGGTTCCAATTTCATATGGACGTTATTGAATTTAAGCTAGTTTTATTTTCTACAAATCTTGATCTCATACTTCTATATAGAAATTCAATATTTTTATCACTTACCATAACGAACTTTTTCCATCATAGGAGACTCATCTTCATTAGGGTGCAGTATCTCATACACCACTGGTTGTGGTACTAATTTCTTTTCCATAGCTGTTTAATTTGATTAGAAATTAATTTATTCAATGATTGTGAAAACTAAGAAATTCTTTTTTACTAGGGATAACCTGACCCTAGTAAAATTGATGCCTTACATCTTTGTAACTTTAATATACGAAAACGGGTTGATAAAGATTTTGATGCTAAACTACATAATTATAATGGTTGTGTTTTACCTCTACAGAGTTTTCTTATTACATCTTCTCTATTATCACATGGCCTCATGTCTTCGAGCATGTCATCTACGACAGACTGGGGTACTTGCCCTTTTGCTACAGCTAGAATTAGGGACCCAAAATTAAAATGACCGTGAAAAGCAATAGTACCACCACCAGTATTGACTGGCATTGGCCACTAAGCTTTATACTTACCTTTGCAAATCTTTTTTATGATTTCTTTTTTATTATCCTTAGTTTTTATAGTAGCAAGGACTTGCTCCATCACACTGAGTGTTATATATCTTTTTTCAATAGCTGAAAGCATGGAAATAATTTTGCACGTATATTTTTAGTATAATGTTTTTAATCTAGCTAGTACTACCAGTATCAACAATTATTTCGGTACCTAGTCGGACTTTTTTCAATATTTGTGACTTAGTATCCTCAGGCCTTACGTTAGCCATGACTTCTTCCATAACAGCAGGTGCTAGAAACCCATCTTCAACCGCTGCAAAAGTGACATTTTGTTAAACTACCGTACTGTTTTCTTCCACGTTCCATATTAAAAAAATTATAAGAGTTTGTTCTGTCTGACCTGCACGGATACTCTTCATAACATAAGCTTTATCACCATCAACCTGACAATCGCCTAATAAGTCTTCCATGAGTGATGGTGGCACCGTTTTATTTTTTATAGCTGAATGAAGTAGTAAAAAAAAGATTATGTTAATGTTTTGGATAAAATATTTTTCAGTTTTGTCAAATTATTTCTAAATTTATCTTACCCATGCAAACTTTCTTGAACATACTGGACCTGTTATCGCTAAGCTTTACATTAGCAGTGATTTCATCTAAGATGGATGGAGGTAATAGCCCTTTGTTTACCGCTGAAAGAAACAACTTTTAAGGAACCTTATTTGAATAACGAATAAAATATTTTTATTTTTAAAAACAGATAGAAAGATAGCCAAGTCTTATTATTAATTTAAAGTAAGTTAGCGTTCCGTTTTATACAAACAAATAATAATCGGACATAAACCTATTTGTTCAGTTACGCTGTTTCACATCCAGCACTCTTATTGGAACATTCTAATAACCATTACTTATATTGATCTAATAATGTTTGCACAATTTTGCTCAATTATTTGTTCGGAATTATACGCACCTTTTTCAATTTTCTTAAAGACATCACGTTTTTTAGTACTTTTCTTAACATCGGCTAATACATCTTCAGCAACAGCATTCATTACGTGTCTCTTTGCAATTGCTAAAATAGTTTTTTTTTTGTTTAGTTTGAATGTATTTGTTTAGAAACATAAGATTATTGGTTTGCTTGAATTGTTCACTAACCTTTACAAACTTTCTTCGCTATCTGAGACTTTGTATCCTTTACATTAATATTATTCGTTATTTCATCCAACACGCAGGGAGATAAATAACCCTTATTTACAGCTAAAAATATTTGTTTTATTAAAAATTATTATCTACGGTGCAGATTTTAAACTTGGCAAATACCAATGCGACTTTCCGGATTATAATGTACTTTCTATGATTATTTAGGCACCACCGACATATTACAGTGAAGGAAATCATCGTGAGGAAACTTGGACTTATAACTTCCAACTATATAAGTTTTTTTAATCGCCAACGCACCTTGACCAAGCGTGGTGTTAATGCGGAAACAATCTCCTTGCGAGAAGAGGCATTTGCTTAGCAGTGGGAACTTATAGGTTGATGATATTACGTGATGTTAAATTCAATCTCATACAAGGACAACTTTTGCAAAGGTACCTATTACATTGTAGTTGGTTCTGTAGTACCTAGTTAAGACGGTGGTAATAAAAATGATTAATTGCATGTTTTAAATGACAAGATTTACCATCGCGGACTTTTTGTAAGGTTTCGGCTTTGAGATCAGATTGCAGATTGCTGTCATTCCTTTGCATCATTCCTGGAAGAAGTAGCCTTTTTTCCATTGCTGAAATATGTATTATATTATAAAGTTTGCATAAAATGATTATCCTGAACTTGGGTTACTCTTTTATACCGTTTTGTATCTTCTTCACTATTTCCACTTTTTTGTCACCTGGGCGAATATCAGCAAGAATTTCTTCCATGACAGCTGGAGATACCTTTCCGTCTTGAACCGCTAAAATAGTTATGTTTCTTTTAGTCAGGCCATCTATTTGATATTTCATTTAAATAACTAAACTGTGTAAAGAAATACTACCTACATCAAATTTTACGTCATCTATCATCTTTATTTTATTATGACATCATAATTTAGATTACTAGGATAGTACCTTTACGAATTTTACCAAGGATTTCACATTTATTTTTAGCACATTTCACATCCATCATAAGTTCCTCCATCACCGATGGAGTTACGTGCTTTATACTCGTAGCTGCCGCTGAAACCAAAAATTGATAATATTTTGAGGAATAAGAAATATGTTGGTATGTGATGTTAACAAGTTTTCTTAAAAGTGTGGAAGAGCCATTCTTATAAATATGTAGAGAGGTTAAAAGTAGTTACGAGTAGCTGCGCCCGCGACTTCGTCTGCTTGGTTGTGGGTATGGAAGTGGATATTAATAAAGAAAAGCTTCTCTGTACAGGCAACATTACATCATCATCATCCCAAACAAACGTGCTAACAGGCAAAAATTCTAAAAATCATTGCGGGTTTCTACAATTTTATTATATGTATTGATTCATATTCATTAGACAATCTTCAATAATGTATCCGCCATTCTGGTGAACAAACGGTATACCGTATACCGCCGCACATTGGTATACCGCCATGTCGAAAGCAACGTGAAAAAACGCCACATTAAGGTAACCCACTGGGGGTTAAAATGGAAATTGAACAATAGAAATTGAGCCGAAATACAATCATAATGGAAGTGAATTATTAATTGATTTTCAATAACCTAAGCTGTATTGTATGTGAATTAAGAAAATCTACTAAAAATCGCGTGATGTAAAATTAATAGTTGGAAATACGACGTCACGAAACATATTTACAGCTAACAAGACCATAAAAGGAAAAATAATAGCAACACTCACAGTTGGGAATGCCAACGTGCAACGGGAAAAAATGTAAGTGCTTAACTAATATTTATTATGAAATGTTGAACATGATTAAAGCGATGACGTTACTTGTCAAGGAATGCGACGGGAAATTAATGCATTTAGGCGTATTTTGTGTATTACATTACTAATTGAGTTTAAAATGTGTAGGTAAATCTTGGCTCTTATAATATTGTTAGGTCAATCGAATCCAGCCTTTACCTTGACTAATACAGTGAAAAATAAGTAATTAATATTTTGTTTTAGGTTTTCTTAAACCATCGAGAGTATAGCCGGTACTTCTAGCTAGGATTTTAAGTTTGACTAGCTTCTGCCAGCGGCTTCGCCCGCGTGCTGTGTTGGTAAAAAGCAGCCTATAGCAATACTCGTAGAACAAAATCGAAGTATACATATCTAATATCTATTATATTACGAAGAATAAACAATGTAAGGATTTTTTTTCAAATAATGTTTATGAAGAATCGAATTCGTATGTGAAACTGACCTTTACAAAGATGCTTTGTAGTTTCTGTCCTATTGTCAATTTTCTGCAGACTTGCTGCTACATTATCTACAGCGTCGGCAGGCATTTGTCTCTTTTCCAAAACTGCAACAGTTTATTATGATCAATGAACCCTATCAAAACATTCTGCAGAAAACTCACAGAGTCTTTATGGAGCTTTTTTATGTTTAAAAGTTTTTTTTACTTATTACTTTATATTGTAACTGCTAAGTTTTTTTATTTAAAATCTGACTTAATTAAAATTATTACAATAATATGTTGTTAAAAATCTACAAAATTTTATATTTACCTATATACATTTGTGCAAAGGTTAAGAATAAAGTTTGTAATTAAAGTTTTACCTTCTGTTAGCTTCTTCAATGTGATGGATTTCTTTTCATTGGGTTTAACATTAGCAAGTAGATCATTAAGGACAACTTGTGGGAGTTGTCCTTTGTTTACCGCTGAAATAAGTTGTTAATAAGAAACAAGTTATTGTATTAATATCGACATAAACCTGGTCTCAAGTTTAAAAAGACTTAAATGCATATTAATTAACCTTGCATTAGAAAAAAATTTGTTATAATACAAATCTTACCTTCACGAACTATTTTGATGATTTGACCGCTATTTCTGGCGCTGTGAGCATCAGTGATCACTTTCTTTGCTATACACGGCATAACAAACTCCTTAACTAAAGCTGAAAGAATTTTCTCCCTTGACAAATGTTTTATATTATGGAATATGGAGGTAAACGAGCATTGAAGTCACCTGATAGTAACCAACCAGCACCACCCATGGAAACCAGCAATAGCAGACGAGTTACGATTGCGTTACCGGCCTTTTGGGGATTAGAGATTTCAGGATTGGGGATGGAGCAGAGGGGAGATATTGGGCCTCCGTTAACCTCAACCACGTGGCAAAAAATACCGCAAACGTTGTTTCACGCCGGTTTTCTTTGGGACGTTGTATTATTCCGGTCAAGCCAGCCCACTCGTGCCGAACACGGCTTTCCCACACTTAAAATAAAACAGCACAACTGCATAGTATACCTTTACAAATTTTCTTGACGATATCTGTCAAGTCGTCACCAGGTTGAACGTGAGCTAGTATTTCATTAATCACAACTGATGGAATACGACCCTTGTCCGTAGCTGAAATAAATATAATGTATTAGTCACGTTAAAAGCTGTTATTTTTAAAACGAGTAGGATTTTAGCTGATGCCAAGTAATCAGTGCCGCCCATGGACACTAGAGCAAACACAGCTGCATTGTCAGCCTTTTAAAAAGGGAGTACGCTTGTTAGTTAGTATTACTCATGTAAGCCGGATAGCTTGAAGGATTTCAAAGACGTCATTATTATTGTTTATTTCTTGTTTTTATGTAAATTTCAATTTTCGTTATTCAGGTTCAGGCATTTACTTTGGCCCCGTTTCCAGATGTGATATGAATAAAGCATGGCTAGTAGTGCAAGAAAAAGAGAAGGAAAACAGATCACTGATGCACTGGTCTGATCAAGTTAAAACGGCGATAGGTAAACCTGAGTCAGACTGCGAAAGACAATCGCCAGATAGAGAAATATTGTAAAAAATTGTGAGAAAAGTCGCAAGTATTGCCCCAGGGCAATATTTGCGCCCCAGGGCAAAGCTTGGACCTGGATCCAAGTTGGGGTGTATCGCATGTAATGAATAAAATACAAAGTAAAAGTAAAAACTAACCTTTGCCGATCTTTTTCCTAACTTCACACGTCCCACTGCTGCTATTTATTTTAGTGGGGCCTTCCTTCAACGCAGAAGGTGTCATGTACATCTTATTAATAGCTAGAATATACAAATCTTTATGAAAAATCTTGAAGTATTGGCAATTATCTGAAGAGAATGTCACTTTACGTAGAGCGAATGAAATATTTTTTTCTATCTTTCTGTTGCTACAGCTGGTGTCCATGGGTGGCACCGATAGCTTACCATCAGGTCACCATCATCATCATCAGCCTATAAGTGCCCACTGCTGAGCAAAGGCCTCTTCTCATACGGATAAGATTAGAGCATTAATCACCACGGTTGCTCAATGCGGGTTGGCGATTTCAAACTTATAATAGGAAATTATCCAGTCCAGGTTTCTTCACGATGTTTACCTTCACCGAATGTCAGTGGTGTCTAAATAATCATAAAAAGTACATATAACTCGGAAAAAGTCACATTGGTACTTGCCAGATTTCGAACCCACACCTTCATGCATGAGAAGCGGGCTCCTAACCTCCGGGCCACCACGACTAAGAACTATTACCATCAGGTAATCCAGGTCATCGTTTACCGTCCAATAAAATGAGAAAAAAAAGACGATTACCTTTTTGCAAGCGCTCCGACATTTGTGATTTGCTGTAACTAAGTTTTTTACTAGCGACGATATCATTGATAACAGGAGAAGGCACGTGTCGTTTTTGTAAAACTGAAAACATTATTAAATTGTTATTGAATCAGGTTACTTCCTACCAGGTTGCGAAGCAGAAGAAGGAACGGGGTAGATTTAGTCAGTAACAGTGACACGTACTGCCTTTCGTCTCACCCAGGCCCCAGGACGAGAGATGGCATTTGATAGGTACAGAGATTTTCGATGTAATTGAGTACTGGTTTTAATGGTCGTGTAACTTTGTCCATATTGGTTTAGTTAATCCGATTATTTATGTAAACCTTACTCAGCCAGACATTTTCAATCATAGCGCTTAAGAATTGCATAGAGAAAAACTCTACTAGTTTCAAGTCACAACGGGACTCTTCTTCATGAGCAGCGAGCGCGTCATTCACATGACTCAAGTCGTTATTTTCAATAAATTCAGTTTGTCTCGATAGTTCTTATTCAAGTAGTTCCAGAGAGATTGAACAGAAATAGATATGTTACCTTTTTGGACCTTATTAGCGACAGTGACCTTACTGTCATTTAGGGTTATATTGTTTAGAACTTCATTCAGAACTTCGGGTTGTATTTGTCCCTTTTCTGCAGCTAAATCATTATGATATCAATTAATATGATTGTTTCAGTAGTGTGTTATTACCAATTTTATCAGTGGCTTCATCTGGGGTATTCAGATGACTACCTGTCCTGTAGCCTTTAGGCCATTCCAGACGACAATATAGGTTCAAAGTTTAATCCTAATAAGTTCAATAGTTTTTGAAGAAATAATCACCGACATATAATGACAATAACTGTGGGAGAGCCATGCTTCGGCACGAATTGATTGGTCGACCGGAGTAATACCATGACCTCACAGAAAACCGGCGTGAAACAACCATAGCGTTGAGTTCCGCCATGTGAATTACGCTACCGATCCTTTCCCTCTCCTCCCCCCCATCCCATAAATATCCCCAAAAGGCCGATAACGCACTTGTTACTCTTTTGGTGTTGCGAGTGTCCATGGGCTGCACCGATTGCTTACCATCAGGTAATCCGTCTGCTCGGCACCTGTGCTGCCGACCTACGTCATAAAAAAGCCATAAATAAAACGACTGTAATCATACCTTTTCCAAGTCTTGTTAGGACTTCCGATTTACTATTCCGAGTAAATATTTTCGTAATGACGTCACTATTGACCGAAGGACTCCGATGTTTCCTAGCTAACACTGAAATTTTGGTGAATTAGTATATTAATTTACTATTTTATTTTATTCTTCTCCCCTCGTGCTAAGCGATCATACGACTTGCTATGAAGTACGCTTATTTATAGCAATATTTTCCTTCGAGCTTTGAATATACCCAGGTTATGATACGATACCCTTCGGAGAACACAGACTCAAAAACTTCCAAAAACAATCGCAAAGAATCCTATTCTTTAGCGGTTCTGATGAAAAAACTGGATGCAAATCACTAGGTGGGTATAGGTAGGACATTCATCTTCGGGTAAGATGGTGGAAAGAGAAAAACAAAGAAAATTGAGCGTAGAAAAAGAGAGTCAAGTTGTACCCCGCACACTTTCCGAAATGTATCCGAAAAAAAAACCGAAGGGCTTGCTTTGTTTAAGGTAGCCGAAAACTGTTGAAGGCAAATCCTCCGCTAACGGAGGTCACCGGTGACCCCCATAGCGTTTAACGTATTAAAGTTCAATTGAGTTTATTGAATGGAAAGTGCTGTAGTTGTTTTTTTTTTCTTTTTCAAAGGCATTAAATGCGTATTAAAATTAACTTACCTTTTCGATAATTCTTTGAAATTTGTGATCCGGAAGCACAGGGTTGGTTGCTAATTAACTCATACATATCAGTATCAGCAGAAATTAAACCCTTGCTCATTGCTGTAAAACGTTAAAGAAAGAGTGATATTTAATTAAACTATTACATCAAATCTTCTCATTAATTTCATTTAAAGTGCCCTGACACTATGAAAAACTACAATAAGTAATCTTCTTATATATAAAAATGGATAGCAAAATGTGTTGGTAAGCGCATAACTCAACAAAGCCTGGACCAATTTCGCTAATTCCTTTTTTGGTGCGTTTGTTATTGTCAGGAGTAGGTTCTTAGCAAATAAAATATTAGAAAAGTAGAGGGGAAGATTAGGAAAAAGTGACCCTTTGATAGCGAGATAGATGGACCCGTGCGAAGCGGGGGCGGGCCGCTAGTTTCTCGATATTTATATCGAATAAAGGCTAAATTACTAATCCTATCAGATTTTTGCAATTAAGCCAAACAACTTCAACAAATATAAAACATAAATAAGACGGTAAATTGTGTTAGTTTTAATAAGAAATGAATCAGTACCGTGGTAAATTGAAATATAGTTAATTTTATGTCCAACGTGTAAAGTGGGGCAAGGTCTTTTTTTAAATGTCCTATCTTGGGTCCTTATTGATTCGTTTTCTGGTCTACCACTCATTTTTTTGTTGACCATACAAAAGTACTGCGGATAAACGTAATTTACCTTTTCTTATAAGCTCTGACTGGGTCACATTAGGTTGTTTAAATTTTTTTTCGATAATATGAGCTGATATACTGCCACCAGCCTTATGTTTTCCGAAGATATTACTGATCACCTCTGGCGGTAAGTATCTCTTCTTCATTACTGCAATATTATAAATATTCAATGCATTTTAAAAATTATTAATCGAGGGGAGAGGTAATCTGAGGGGGTCTGAGGACTCGACGGTGCTAACACCAGGCAGGATACACCGGCACCGTATGCTCCACCAGCACCCCGGGTGGTACTTACAATGAGGACACATATCGAAGCTTCAGTCTGTGCCCAGTAAGCACCGAATTACGAAAGTTACCGCGGCTATAACAGCGTGACAGAACTTAAGTTGAATGGCAGAAGTCCTTATGTACCTACCAATTATTTTTTACGTTAGTATGTAAAAGATATGAATAAATCAATTCGTGAACTAATTAACACAAACAAATAAAATAAATGTAGTCTTTCTTACCTTGTTTAACTTTATCTATGATCAATGATTTTGAATCACACGCGGTAATATGTGCCAGAATTTCATCCATAAGTACCGGTGGTAGTTGTCCGTTGTGTATAGCTGTAGCATACATAGAAGTTAGGTACATTATTTAGATTAAAATATACGTTCACGCGCAAGCGCAGGCGCCTATAGCAACACGAAAAGACATGCCATACTAATCGCAAGTCAAAAGTGATTCGGAAAGATATATACTCCTTACTTGTGGACAATTTTCCATAAAAATGTCTTAATCAATAAGTATCCCATAATGGAAGTTTTATTCTAATTGTCCCAAGAGTAAAAATAAAATAGCAAAGATTAAAAATTAATACTTACCCTTACTGATATTCTTAACGATTTCAGATTTACTTTTACTATCTTGTACTTTAGCGAGAACTTCAACTAGGACCGCTGAAGTGGTGTGTTCCTTTGTTATCGCTGAAATGTACATGTACATTATATTTAGGAGAGGAAATATTTTTTGATTCGGCATTTGTTTGACATGAATTTATTTTTATACAAGTCTGTCAAACTCTCTTCTTGGCATATTTTGAGTTTACATATCCAATTGGGAACCGGTATCCTATTACTATGGATCCACTGTTCGTCCAAACGTTTCTTACGAACCGTGTTAACTGGACGTTTGAATTTGAACAGATAAAAAATCAAAATAAAATGAGTATTAAAAGGAAATTCTCATAAAAAATGTGATTTTGTTACGAATCTTCGAAGTTTTGATCTTACACCCGGTTTCCGAAAGGCCGATAAATGTTAAAATCAATTTAATCTCTTGTTAAGTCTGATTGGTTGTTTGAATTATCAACAACCAATCTGATGACTTGACAAAAAATTTAGCGTTGACAAGCCTTTCAGAAACCGGGTGTGTGTTGCTATTCAAATTCTCTTGTATTGTATATGTTTGTATTTTGACTCCCGTTCCCTGATTATGCCGACAACTTCATAAATACACAGAAATTAGCAGTTTACCTTTCCAAATTTTCATCAATACTTCATCTTTACTGTCATTTGGGCGGACACTATTTAGAATGTCGTCCATGACAGCTGGTGAAAGTTGGCCCTTACTTATTGCTAGAAAATAAACGGTAATGTTTATTTTAGAAATAAGTTATAAGTTATCGACGAAATGTATCGTACTGTTTTCGTACATCGTGTGACATCTCACGCCGATTTTGCAAAGCTGCTACGCGCATGCTTCTCATAAGAAAATAATAAGAGCCCCGTTGTGTCTTGAAATCGATAGAGCATCCTCATTGTCAATTCACGTGACAAAGGCTTTATTTTTAATAAATGTATCGTACTGTTGTTTTTCTTCAGTTCGAACTGAATATTGGTTTATGAAAAAATTAGAAATTTAACAGATGTAGATACAGCGCGGTTAGTTTATTTTAGTTATTTCCACAGCATCATGTCATACGGTATTTTGTTGTGGGGGAATGCTGCTGACATTCAGTCTATTTTTGTTCTGCAGAAAAGGGCTATTCGATCAATCTATAATCTTAGTCCGAGGCATTCGCTCAGAGAATTATTTAAGGAAACTAAGATAATGACGGTTGCCTCACAATATATTTATGAAAATGTAATTCACGCTCATAAAAACAAAAGCTTATTTAAGAAGCATAGTGATATACATAATATTAACACGAGGGGGAAAAACAAATATGTTGTCCCTGCCTCCAGGCTTCAGAAAATAACTAGTTCGTTTAGATGTCAATGTATACGCTTTTACAATAAAATTCCTAGCGATATTCAAAATTTGAGCCTCAATAAATTTAAAAGTGTAATAAAGGCTAAACTTTGCTGTAAAGCATTTTATAAAATAAAAGACTACTTAGAGGATAGTCAGGCATGGGAATGAGCCGCTGTAATGTCTGCACAGGTCATGTTGACATGTTTGTAACATAAGTTACAATTTTATATACAATTTGACATTACGTTTATTTTTTATTTTTTATACAATGACATAATCACCTATTGTGACATTTTATTTTTTATTTGACATTTTTTTTTTATTTATTTATTGACATTTTTATTATTTTATATTATTGTTAGTGTAAGGACCGTGTGAGACTTGCCGTGCTTTTTGATTACCAGTTATCTGCGTTCTGACAGTTTGAGTACTTGCGCGACCCACCCAAATGTTCTTTAGATCGGTATTGTTCGTCGGACAACTCAGCAGCACTAGCTATACTGGTTGCAAACTGACACTTGCGTGCCTGTCTTCAGAACGGGTCCACTTAAACTGGTGTGGTTCTTTCCTCAAAAGACCACTACAGAATGAACTTGCACGATTCTCTCACATTATGTTATTTTTACATTGTCTGGACTTGAAAAGAGACTGACCTCTGAGTTTGTTTCGGCATTTCTTCTCAGAGTAGTCAGATAGGAAATGCCGGCTTCATCTAGTTTTTCACATATAAATTGACGTGTAAAAGTGCCGTTTTATGGCCTATTTGCAAAAATAAATTCATTGTTTCATTGTTGTTTCATTGTTTCAAACGAACAGCAAACAAAGCAAGCAAGCAAGTCAGCACTCATCATCATCAGCCTATAAGTGCCCACTGCTGAGCAGAGGCCTCTTCTCTGCTGAGAAGGTTAGAGCATTAATCACCACGCTTGCTCAATGCGGGCTAGCGGTTTCAAACTTATACTTAGAAATTACAAGTCCAGGTTTCCTCACGATGTTTACCTTTACCGTATGTCAGTGGTATCTAAATAATTATAGAAAGTACATATTTTGCAGGGTTTAATACTAGAGAGTTCTCTTCTGACCATTTTACAATTTTCCCAAGATCTTCATTTAACTTGCTAATATAACTCGGAAAAAGTCACATTGGTACTTCCCAGGTTGCCAACCCACATCCTCATGCACGAGAAGTCAGTACTGAATAGGATAAATTAAGTGCCACGCACGCGGTTTGACATAAAACCTCAAAAGACTTATGTGTAGTCCGAATACCTCTGCCTTCATTGCTGTTTTTATAGATTATGACGTCCGATGTGGGCTACTAAGATCTAACTGGACCTTTGTTTGTGACACACAGGACTCCGGACAAAATCAAAACTTTAAATATCTACACGCATGAATATTTACCTCTGTTGATATTTAAAAAAAGTTCTGATTTGCTCTCTTTTGGCTTCTTCACCTTCAGGATGTCATCTATAACATGCTTTTTAACGTGTCCTTTCGCACCCGCTGTGACAAAGAGGTAGTTTTAAATCCACGATAATGTGCATAAGAGCCTTCTCACACAGTTTATCGTGGTTTTAAGTGAAGTAAGGCTACACCTGCACTGCACCTGCACTTATGGGCGAATAAACAGCATGACCCACACACGTGCTCATAGAAAACTAGCGTGAAATAATACTTGCGTTCTGTATCGCCATACCGTTAAGGTTATCGGAAGTACAGTCCTTCCGTCCCCCACCCTTTCCTTAATCCATAAAAGTTTGGTAGTGAACTAGTTACTCATTTAGTGCTGGGGAGGGCGATGATTGTTTACCATCAGGTGATCCGTCCTATGTTTTTCCATAAAAACAAATTAAATGTTCTTGGGACTATGTATTAGATACATTTGAATACAGTGCAAAGTTTTGTTAACTATGTGCCATAAAAGTTTATCGGGTATTTATCTGAAGGTAATATAAATACCCGGGTCATCCTTAATAATAGGTAAACCCATGAAATTGCCGTTTTGCATGAAAAAATTTAAACGATTTTTTTGATTTGAAATGCGATAAAAATGTAACACTAATCAATAAACAAATGACTACTTTTGGAAAAAGAATCCCATGTTTTCAAAACAAAATTAATTAGCCTAAAAAAAACTATTTTGATTTGAAATGGCCAGTACTGCAGAACGGCAATTTCATAGGTAAAGACCTATTATAATATAGGTTATAACGTCACAGTAATTGAGAACCGTTTTACTTGCCTTTACGAATCTTCTTAATCACTTGAGCTTCGTTGTCGTTTGGACTAACTTTGCAGAAAATCTCATTCATGACAGCGAGCGGTAATACTCCGTTTTTCACAGCTGAAATTACACTTGTTGAAAATGTATTGTGTACAGAATGCTTAGATGACTGAACTCAAAATGGGTGATATCGAGATCTTGTAGAACCTACCATCATTATATATTGAACGTTTTGCTAAAAACAACGTTTGATCGATTTCATTTCATTTGGTCCAGTTTTAAAGTTTGTTTATTCTCAATACACAAATGCATGTCGGAGGTCTTACCTAATACTCTAATCACCACTTTTCCCACTCTCTTACTATCAATAATCAGACATGGGATATGGACAGGATCAGAACAAATTATATTTCAAAGTAATATACATTCTTTTACAATACAATACTTAATTACGATACTTAACAAAGTAATACATTTCATGATAGACATACCTTTTCGAACATTATTCATCATAACTAAAATATTATCACAAGGCTGCGGTTCTTTGCCGAAGATGTCATCCATTACATGTGTCGGTACCATGTTATTTTCAATTCCTAGAATTTTATAAGAGAGAGAAAGACGTTTATTGTAACTTATGCAAACCTACTAATATTATAAAGAGGTAAAATTTGTAAGTTTTTATGTAGGGGGTAGTCTTTAGAACCGCTGGTCAGATTTCGAAAATTCTTTCACTGATAGATAGATACAATGTTTAAGAGTGATATAGGCTATACTGGACTTACGTACTTTAGTCAAGCTATCGCTGTAAAGGCTGTTGTTATTAAAATCCCAGGATACATTACTTTTATAAGCGTGTGAGGTGGCCGTAAACTAGTGATGAATATAAGAATACTCGTCAAGTTGTCGTAAGCCTAACTGCTGCACAGCCTAGGCTGCGCGACGTCGCCGCGTCCGCGCACGCTGCTCATGAGGAAGAACCCCTCTGTGGTTCGAAACTAGTAGAGCTTTTCTCAACATGTACACGTGAGTAACCCGCGAATTTTAGTTAATTTAGTATGTCTCACGATAGTTATTATAAAAAATGATTATCTTATTTAAGTTCCTAAAGAGCTAATAATTCCGTATCTCTTCCTAAGGGTTTAAAATAATTCTGTCTGCCTCTTTGGCCTCATTTACGATGTTCCCAGTCCGGTACAACTGCTAGTAAAGTTCATAGAAGAACTAAGTCAGGAAAAGTATTTATTTTTTCTTTGAGTGATTCCTCTCGCCTGGGGTGAGGCGACAGGAGATGTCAGACTCTTACTGGCTAAAAACTAGCCCGTCCCCTTTTCTGCTCCAGGCTTCAAAGAAGAACTGAGGAGGTATTCTTACCTTTTTTAATTTTCTCCATAACTACAGCTCTGGTATCATTTGGATGCATGTTATCTAATATTTTGCTTAGACATGAAAGTGGTAATTGGCCTTTTTCAGCGGCTAAAATATAATAATCATTTAATTCAATTATGAGGTAGTCTCACTTATATGAGTAAAGTTAATAGTACTAAACCAAATAATAGGTACCTTTGCTTATTTTCTTTACAATTTTTGACTTATCATCTTTTTTGTTAATGTGAGACAATATTTGATCCCTTGTTTCTGGCGTTACGTGGTGCTTTGCTATCGCTGAAAATAAATACGCAAAAAGTAGGAAATTACAAAATACCATCAAATATTTCTTTAATACAGAGTACCTTAACGCTTTGATTTCTAGGAAAGTAAATGATTCATCTCAACGCAGGCTTACCGTTTCGAACTTTTTTCAAAACTTTTGATTTATTATCGCCAGGATGTACATTTTTAAGATCATCTAAAACTGATGCAGATATTTTTCGTTCTTTGACAGCTGAAATATTTATAAGTTAGAAATAAATAAGAGAAAAATATTTATCACTTTGCCTTTTGATTGTGTTCTTTATAACCAAGAGTCTAAGGCATAAGTTTGTGTAAAATATAAGTCAGACAATAGGACCCAAGCAAAGTAGTTTTCAAAATGTCAGTAACACCTATATACTTATTTGTCTAGTATACAAGTTTGAAAACGAAAAGTTAAATCTTCCAAGAGACTACTATAGGCACTCTTGAAGTTCAAACAAATAGATATATTAAAAGGCTAAACTTTGTGTGTGTGTGTGTGTCAGTCTGTCGGTATAACTTCTAGTGAAGCTATTTGTTAGGTGAAAAGTGTAGATTCCTATGGAGGAGAACGAGCAAGAAACTTCATGGTTAGATACTGTTTATCATACAGTTTCACAATATGTACCTTTCTTTGGTACATTATTTGGTCGGTGTTTAGTGTGTCAGAAACCTAAAACGGCATTATCATAAAACAAGGTTTTTCTTTAGTCTAAGTCTAAACCATTGAGCCAGTTTTTGCATTTCAAATTCAAGATAGGTGAGAATAAGATTTAAAATACGAAACCTGATTCCATAGTTTAAGACATAAGGAACGAGATATTACCTTTTCGAACTTTCTTCATAATTTCTTCGGTAGATGTTCGTTTATATGAAGTATCTTTATGTGACAACACTTCGCTTGTTGATGACACTGCAATTTATAATATAAGATTGATATTTAGACAACATTTTTGTACTACAATAACTACATTAATAACGTGCTAAATTGGTGCAACGCAGTTGAAAATATTATTTCCAGCGTGAATAGAAACTAGTAGCTTTTCTCAAACACCTTTAGATGTGTTTTTAATTAAAATAATAACGACTTATTCACGTGAATCAATTGAGAAAGCTCTAGTAGTTTCAAACCACAACGGGACTCTTATTAGTCACAGGCCACAGGCCAAAAGATGGTTATTTTGTGAAACAAGGTTTTGTGTAAAAGTGTACATATCATTTTGTTTTATTACTAACCTTTAAGAATGCTCTTAATTTTTTCAGGTTTTCTCGGAACAAATTCTATATCAGGCTTATCAATAAGCAGTTCCTCTATCACGTTTTGGCTTAATAGGGTTTTTTCTAACGCTGTAATTAATGAGTATACAGTTACAGGGCCAACGTTTTTAAAAAAGAAAAAAAAAGAACGTTTTTAAAAAAGAAAATGTATGTAAAATTATTTAAACTTCAATTTACCTTTGTGAATAATACCGATAACTTTACATCTGTCATCGTTTGGTTGCACAGTATCCAAAACTTGACACAAGACATCAATTGGTATTTTTTCTTTTTCTACAGCTGAAATAGAAAATAAAATGAATCATGATAATTAAGTCAGCCGGGGTCGCGGGTTAAGCGCAATAAGGCACCGCGGCCTTTGCCTAGAGCAGGAGAAAGAACGGGGAGTTTTAGTCAGTAAGAGTCTGACATTCCTCCCCGCCTAACCTTAGGCGGAAAGAGTGCACTCACAAAAAGGTGCATCATTAGACGCAAAGATGGTATGCCAACTAAACAATAGATATAAAGAAAATCTCGTGATCAGGTAAATTATAATTAAAATAGCTGACCCGCCAAACGTTGTTTTGCCATGTGATATTATTATTTAAAAATAAAAATTATCATATAATAAGTAAATTATATAAAAATAACATCATAGAAAGGAATGAAAAATAGCTATAGACTAGCCGATCCTCAGACCTACTGAATACGCATATAAAAATTTGGTAATTAAAATTGAGACACGAGACTTTTTTTGTGTGTAAGATGATTAGGAAATTATATCAAAAATATGTACCATTTCGAAGTGGGTTTAATATAGGAGTTCTACTATCACATCCAAATACTTCAGTCATTACAGATTGCATGTTAGATGGCGTCACATGCCTTTTGGCAATCGCTGAAAAAGAAACAAAAAAATATCAACTAACTACTAAAACATTCTGATATGTCAATGTCAATATATGTATATTATTTAACGATAAAGTAAAAACGTGTATTCTTACTCATACGTTTATTTATAATTTGGTGCTTTTTGTTACACATTTAAGACAAATACATAGTATATTTGATACAAAAAATAGGATGTAACATTAAATATGACAATACAAAATTCAAAACGAATCGTAATTGACAAAAAAAATGTATTCAATTTAAATAGTCAGAGTGTTATCATCTATAATATACCAGCTACATGATATTAACATTTTCTTAGCCCATATACACACAAGAAGGCCAGCAAAGAAGTAAAATCTTTATTTTTTTATTTATACTTCTAACATCATAAACGATTATGCAACAATTCATCCTTACCATTGAGAACCTTTTCAATAACTTGGGATTTACTGTCCAGTGGTTTAATATGGTAGAGAACATCATACAAAATAGCTGGTGATATGCATCCTTTTTTAATGGCTGAAAGTTCAAAAAACAATAAAGTATGTAAATTGGCTGTATACACAGCCTATTTATAAAAGGACCTATTTCGCACAGGTTACGCTACTTAAGTTTTAATAATCTTTTCTAACAATGTGTTTATATGCAGCCTAAGTACTGTAAGCCAGAATAACAGGAGTACTACTTTACTGTAAGCCAGGATCTAGAAAAGAAGGAAAAACCCTTTATCCACAGTTGATACAACCACGAAATCATCAAAAACTATCTCACTCAGGCTGCATTTAAATTTTAAACGATCAAAGGATTGAAAGTGTATTACAGTTTCGTTAGCTGTTTATTTCTCAATATTATATGTAAATTAACGTAAGCAAGAATTCTGTTAGCAACTCGATTTTAATGACTATCCTGACTAGTATTACCTATATTATTTATTATTCGGCAACTCACATAATTGAACCAACTGTTTGTAAAAGGAATCTGTATGTGAAACTGATTTAAAAAGAGTAACCATGGAGTTTCTTGCTCGTTCTTCTCCATCGGAATCTACACTTTGGAACGAGCAAATAGCTTCACTAAGAGGACTGACCGACAGACTGACACTATTTTTTATTTTAAATTTTGTTTGACGTTCAAAAGTGCCTGTAAAGGTCTAATTGGAATAAATGATTTTTGACTTTTTTTGACTTTCACGGCCAGAACGAGAAGATCGTCCATTTAATAATAAGGCTAGTCATACAAACCTTTGCTTAAATAGCTAATCTTAATATTAAAAATAGACGTACATGCTTTATCAATTTACCTTTTAAAATGTTAGATATTACTCGTGTCTTATAGTTACTAGTATGTGTAAAATCACCCATGTCCTTTCTACTCATCATTGTAATGAGTGACGGTGTTACTTTTCCAGTTTTTACCGCTGGAAGTAAAATATAAAATGGTTCCATTTTCATTATACTTAATTAACTTAAACTATAATTAAAACAATAAGTGGTGGATTGCTTGATTCGATCTTGAGACAACATCAGTTTGAGAATTGAATTGTAGAATTTGGAAATAGACCAGCCATGGCAAGCATGGCCAACCAAGAAGTTCTAGAGCAAGTTAAGGTCGTCTCGAAAGTTTATAAAAAAATTCGAGTAGGTCCGCCATTCTCTCTTCAAGGGAAAATGTTTTAGGATTGAAGTTCTGTTAGAACTTTATTTGACTTGTAGAAAAATCATTTTCGTATTTGTGAAATGACTAAAAATTAACATCGCTTCTCAAAATAATCCTTTAAGTAATCCTATACAAACCTTTACAAATCTTCTTTCTAACTACTTCCATATCTCTGAGATGCAAATTTTCCAGTGCCTCGTTTATTTTCCTCTCATTCTTTCCTCGCAATAGTCTAGCAAACGATGGATTTATCTGGCCGGTTGACATAGCTGAAATTTTGGAAATAAATGGCTATCATTTTATTTCTAACTCTTTTCTTTGAATATTATCACGATATGTTTAACTTGGAGGGCCTACTACCCGTGTTCCACATTTCGATAAGGCAACCATGAACTTCTTAATGATCCGATATAGAACTAAAGTTGTCGACATAGCCCAAAGAATTAGCTAACAGAAGTGGCAGTGGGCAAGTTACATTTGTCGAAGAACCGATGGCCGTTATGGTAGACGTGTTCTAGAGTGGAGACCACGTCTAGGCAAATCTAGTATTGGGCGCCCTTCAGCGTGGACTCATCATATCGGTAGGGTAGTAGGCAGTCATTTGATGAGAAGAGCAGAACACCGAGCTCAGTGGCGTGCAATTAGAGAGGCCTATGTCCAGCAGAGGACGGAAACAGGCCGATGATGATAAATCTTCTTGGTTCGATCATTGACCGTTGTAATTTTTGTTGTAATAAGGTACTGTCATGGTTGTACAAAATAGGTACAACAGCGATGATTATTTCAAAATTAATGAATTTATATGATGATGATGATGATGATGAATCTACATCATCATCATTATCATCTTCCTGCCCTTGTCCCGTTTTATTTGGGGTCGGCGCAATATGTTTTTTTCTTCCATTCTGTCCTGTCACCCGTCACGCTATCACTAACTCCTCTGTCTTCCATATCATTTCTCACACAATCCATACATATAATTTTTTGGTCTCCCTCTCCCTCTCAATCCATCCACATTTATACTCAAAATAAATGCTACAATGATTATTAAATTTAATTATATAAAATATGTATTTTATTACTTACAGGTTTTTCTAGTACTTTGGCGTCCACTCGAAAATAAATCCATAGACGGTGATGACTGCCGTTTTACTAGTGCTAAAATATGAATGATAAATATAATGATACATAGAATGTTTCAAAAATAAAAATAAGTTTCCTCAAGACCACCCCTTTCGTGTATAACAATGTAACAATAATGCACCAAAATATAAACGGGCTTTTAAATAAATCGGCTATGTTTACTGTTGTATTGGATGAGTTGTGTGGTTTAGGTAAAACTATTGATGTACTGTGTTTTTCCGAGCATAATATGATTTTGGATGATGTTAGTCTGCTGTTTATTCCTAACTTCAGTCTTGTAACTTTTTTCACCCGAAAATCCAGACATGGTGGTACGTGTATAATGATACGAAACGGAATTAAGTATCGAGTTTTGGAGTCAATGGAAAAATACAGTGTCCCAGGTGTAATTGAGTGTTGCTCAGTTGAACTTACGGATCATAACATAATAGTAATCTGTGTATACAGAAGCCCGCATAGCAAAAATTCAAAGATAAATCTTGAAACATTTTTTAATAATCTAAATAACCTCTTAAGTTCAGTTTCATTTCATATAAATAGGAAGGTGGTACTGTGCGGTGATTTCAATATCGACCTACTAAAAAACACTTACAATTCTACACAATTTAATTATCTTATTACGGGCTTCAATCTTAAGTTTGAGATAAATATACCAACTAGATTGAGTAGTGGAACATGCATAGATAATATAATCCATAATGTGCGGGGAGCTAGGGGTGAAGTCTTGGAACTGGCAATATCTGATCATACAGCTCAAGTTCTACGGTGTCCAGTAAAAAAAACATGCAGTTTAGATCACTGGTTTACCACAAGACGAGACTACTCTATAGAAAACATAGATAAATTTAAAAACTATCTTAAGAGCATTACGTTTTCCGATGTGTATCAGGAACCGGACTCAAATGAGGCATTCAGGCTGTTCTATGAGTGGTTTACATTGCTTTATAATTTATGTTTTCCGATTATCAAAATAAAAATATCTACTAAAATAAAACCAAAATGGATAAGCCGCGGTATCAGGATTTGTAGCAAAAGGAAAAGACAATTATTATGGAAATACCGCAGATTCCCTAATGAACAGAATAAACTGAATTTAAAAAATCACTCGAACCGCTTAAAGAAAGTAATAAATCTTACGCAGAAGGCACACAATAATACATTTATTAGCACAGCTCAGAATCTAGGGAAAGCCACATGGAAAGTCATCAATAGGAACAAAACCACTATACCAAATGAACATATAATAAGAATCGACTGTAATCAAAAATTATTAACTAATCCTGACGAAATAGCACAAGCTTTTAATGACTTCTTTGTAGATCAAGTAAAATTAACTGACCATATCAATAATGACACTTATAAAATGACGATTAATAATAATAAAAATACTTCGATGTTCATGTCTCCTACTTCACCAGTTGACATCCATCGTATTGTAATGTCGCTTAAAAACACGGCTAGCACTGGGTACGATGATATATCCACTAAAATTATAAAACACGTATCCATAATTATTGCACCTATATTAAGTTACCTTATTAATTTGAGCATAGAGTATGGTAGTTTTCCCAGTGAATTAAAAATAACTGTAATAAAACCGCTTTTTAAGAAAGACAACAGAGAAAATATGTCCTGTTATAGACCTATTGCTCTAGTACCAATATTTTCCAAAATATACGAAAAAGTAATTAATAATCAAATCACATCATATTTCGAAAAAAATAATTTACTAGTTGACAACCAAAAGGGCTTTAGGAAAAACAAATCAATTGATATGGCTATATATGACTTCTTAGATAAAGTTAGCAGTCAAGTAGATAAGAAATTACCAGCTGTAGCACTTTACATGGACATGACAAAAGCGTTCGATCGCGTTGATCATAAAATACTCCTAAGTAAACTAAATGCATATGGAATTAGAGGAAACGTATTGAGTCTAATTGAATCCCAGCCTACAAAACAGACGGCAAATGACAGTTATCAATAGAATCAATAAAGATAGCGAAGTAACTTATATGTCTGACCAAAGAACTGTTACTTACGGCGTACGACAAGGTAGTGTTCTTGGCCCGACACTGTTTATTATATATATAAATGACTTTCCAACATCATCAACATATCCAATGACCATGTTTGCAGACGATAGTACCTTACTATTTAATAGTGATGACTTAAAAACTTTAGAAGTAGATATAAACGCTAACATTGAATCTGTTGTAAACTGGTTAAAACATAATAATTTGGTGATTAATCTGGATAAGACGGCAATAATGAAATTTGAACAGCGAATGGGCAAATACACCAATTTAGTTGTACAATGTCATGGAAAAAGTATTAATGAAACAAATGTAACAAAATTTCTAGGACTAAATATACAGAAAAATTTGAAATGGAATGTTCATATAGACAAAGTGAGTAAATTAAATAAATACTCTTATGCTCTTCACATGTTAAATAAATCGGCGAACCGAAAAACAGTGTTGACAGCATACCATGGTCTAGTAGCATCAACATTAAGATATGGAATTATTTTCTGGGGGAATGCCACCGGTAAAGAAATGGTATTCAAGTGTCAAAAAAGATGCATTAGAGCTATTTGTAATCTGCAGTCTACCGACAGCTGCTACACTTTCTTTAAAAACCTCAAAATTTTGACGGTCCCCTCATTATACATCTATGAAACTGCTATGTTTGTCAAAAATAATTTTAATCATTTTGACCGAGTAACCAGTCAACGTCGTTGTGATCAGTTACACTTAATAAAATCTAGAACTGCACTATATGGTAACAGTATCTTTGCAATGGCTCCAAAAATTTATAATAAACTGCCTAAATGTATAAAAGATGAAAATAATATTCGACTTTTAAAACGAAAACTGACATTATTTTTAATTGAGAAGACATATTATTCTATTGACCTATTTTTAAATGATAAATTTTGACATACTACATTGATTCTTTTATACTTATTTAATTTAAATTTATTAATAATGCTTGCTACTTGCCCAACTTAAAAACTATTTGTACACCAATTTTATTGGTAGAACATGGAGATGCCATTAATGTATATTTTAACACGCTTATGTATTATTACCTGTGTTCACAAATAAATTGATTTGATTTGATTTGATTTGATTTGATTTGATAAAAAAAGTATTTTCACATATAAAGCTTTATTTATATATCTATTGTATTTTTTCTACAAGCTGATGCCTTTTAATAAATTTAAAGAAGAAAAATGTTTGAAATTATGGTAAGTTATGTTTTATTATCTGTGAAGTATATAGGTAACCCAGAGTTATTACCAAATAAATAACTTACATAAACGGACTTTCTTCATTGCTGATTGAACAGTGGTATCGCTTGCACGTTTATTATCCTTCTCTTTAGGCATTTTCGTAAGAGGTCCGCGTACTCTTCTTGTACGTGTAACTGAAAAAAAAATGTTAATAAGCGTTTAAACTTTCAAGTAAAAAATCATAGGAAACTACTGAACCGACTTTACTGAGACTTCGAACACTTAAAGTCTGAAAACTTAAAGATTTTAAGATCGTCATTTCACTAATATTAAATTTGTTCAAAGGTCCATTGCGACTGGGCTTCGGCCCCACGTACGCCTTCCAAAGGTATGAGATACTCAAACTAACATGCAGTCTAAAATCTTAAAAACTACTAAGTACATAATTGTCTTTGACTTTTTTTTAAGTAATGGTTCGGTAAACGAACAGCGGATAACCTGATGGTAAGCAATCAGCGCAGCCCATGGACACCCGCAACAGAGGAGTTACGAGTACGTCGCCGACCTTTTCGGAATAAGGGTTCTGGAGATTTAGGCATTAGGGTGGGATTGGGGGAGGGGAACTGGGCCTCCGGTAACCTCACTCACACGGCGAAACCCAACGTTAAGGTTGTTTCACGCCGGTTTTCTGTGAGGCCGTGGTATTACTCCGGTCGAGCCGACCCATTCGTATCGAAGCATGGCTCTCCCACACTTGTAATAAGATCCATTACGTACTTAGTGGTGAAATGTAGCATCAGCATTGTACCCATGCGAAGTCGGGGCGGGTAACATTTAATATACATATAATTTGCGGAATGTATGTGTTACTTTTTTTTGTGAGGGGATAATCATCAAATGACTTCTCCCGCCCAGGGCCGGGCGGGAGGGAGTGTCAGACTCTTACTGACTAAAAACCCCCCTGTTCCTTCTCCTGCTCATGGCCGAGGTCGCGGTGCCTCATTGCGTTTACCTCGCAACCCAGGCTGAACATCAGCCCTATAGGGCCCCGTCTGTGGTGGTCTATTGGCTCTTTGAGGCGCGCCTGATTCTCGGGCCTGGTTCTGGTCTACCCACCCTTAATCGCCGACCGCAGACCCGCGCTTACGGTGGCCGGAGATCATCTCTCGATGTATGTGTTAGGTGTGTTGGAAACGATGTATATTATAATTTATATGCACCTAATCTATGTATGTATGTATACTTAGATAATTAAACATTAAACTTACATTTAAAAGATTTCGTTGACATTGTAGATTTAGTTTGACTCAGACTACTTCTTTTCATACGTTTATTTTCTTTATCTTCTAGCATTTTTGACAATGATGACCATAGTTCCGAGTCTTTAAGTTTGTCTGTAACATATGGTAAGATCGATCAAATTACATTACATCAAATTACATTTAAAAAAAAACAAAAAAATACAAATCAAGAACATTATAAATGATAAATATAGACCACTTATTCGTCACACTTAATATAATAAGTAATTTTGTTTATAATTAGGTATTCCAATGCATAAGCGTTTAATTTTAAGATGCTACTCTCACAACATGAGTGTGGTCTTAAATATACGCAAACCTTACTATTAATACTTAATTTTGTTAAATTATTTATTTAGTTATAGTAAAGGCACTATAACTAACTAACTAATTTAACAAAATAAAACTTGCAGAAACAAATAATATCTATCTTTTTCGCGGTAAAATGAAAAAAAATCAATATTTTTTTTTACATTCCCTATCTTTGTTTCTGGCCAGCTTTATAAAATGGCCAGAAATTCAGAATGTCTAATTTAACAAAATAATACTTGCAGAAAAAGACTTATTTTTTCGCGGCAAAATTAATTTTAAAAAACAAATTAATTCTTTTTGTTTCTGGCCAGCTTTATAAAATGGTCAGAATATCAGAATGTAAGTTACTTTAAAAACTTTTTTGATAATGTTTCTGTTTTTTTCATAGCTTTCCGATCTTCACCAACTTTAAATTAAAGTAATAACAACAACAATAGGTACGTACCTAAAAAGTTCCTTGGCAAAGATAAAACAAAATCGGTTGAATAGAACAATTTTTTAAGATATTCTGCCAAATGACATAATAATATTATATTTGCATGGGGACTTACTTTTTTCACACTGTTCTGAGAAATTGGCTAAAGATGATTTGTTCTTTAGTTTGCGTTTATTTCGTGCTTTTAAATTTAGATGTAAGCCTGAAATATCAAACAAGTAAACTAATTAGTACTTTGCATAAAAGAAATTATTACGTAGGTAGGTGTTTCATATAAATCTCATATATAAAACTAATAAACTGAGTTTTCTTACATAACTATGATTTTGACTTGAAAATTTATACAATAATCTGTGTCACATAAATGCTCTTAAAGGTCTTTACAGATCATTTTACACTAAGACTACAATCAAATATGATAAGTTGTCGGACTGGCCGTTACTATAAAACAGCAAAATATTACCTTTTACACTATGCATCTGTATTTTTTTATAAATGCACATGCATTTCGGTATAAATTGAGGCAAAAAAGTACTCGTTCCAATTTCTTTCGATTTGATATTTAATTTTTTTGCCAGTGTGCTTTTTGACTTCACTGAAATCAAATCGTCTCGGTTATACAGGTTATACTCGACCATAATGTAAAATATTATGTAAAAAAGTACTTAAATATTTTGGTATCTAAGTGTAAATTGTGAAACTCAATTCACAAAAATTACTCAGAAGAGGCACATAGAAAATTGACGACATTAATCAATGGACGTCATAAACCCACATAGCACCGTTTAAAATGGATAGAAAATCCCAACGTTGTTGGACAGTGGACCACTCGGCCTTAAGTGTTTGAGTAGGGCGATGCTGGTGTACGTGTCATGTTCGTGAACGGGGACTGGTCAGCTCCGGACGTCTATTGTCCTTAAGAATATTTTTCTTTTTCTGTTTCTTTGAATAAACATTAGTGTTACCTACACTGTTCTCAAATAGGTAACCGAACCAACTTAATAATGTATCTATCAAAAAATCTGTGTGAAAATTATTATGAAGAGTACCTAACCATGGCAAATAGTTTTACTTAGAGGACTGACCGACAAACTGACACTTGAAGCTTTGGATGACGTCCAAAAGTTCCTGTAAGGGTCTAATAGAAATGAATAATATTGACTTTGACTCGGCATCACCTCGCCTTTTCTGAAGATTCTCCTTGTCCAATCTTAGGGAACTTTATTCTCTATGCCCTAAACAATCATAGACATCATATATTTTTGAAAAATTACCTGGACGATGTTCCTTCATATTACCCAATTTCTTGTCACATTTGTCAATGACATGTTCTTGACCTTTGTCTACTTTTTGACTTGTTTTCGCTTTATTTTTGATAATGTTTGCTAGTGATGTTGTAATTTCCCCTTTCCTTATAGCTGCAATAAATATTTCAATGATTTTATTCAATAATTCAATTTAAACTATGTACTTGCTTATCAACTTCATCAACTGTCCGTTGCAGTTCATTGTTAGACAAACTATAAGCCATCTACATAGAGGGGTCTATCATGTCCTCTATAACTGGCAAGCTAGATGAGTTTGCCAGTCTTGCGAAACTGAAGTGACACCATTAATCGAGCTGTAGCATTAATGTTTCCTACAGAAATCCCAAAAGAGCTCAAACGTATTATATCTCATACTAACTACACCCACACGCTTTCACCCGCTCCTCGGCTGCTATCGGTGTTTAATTGTCTACAGTCTTCCTCGATAAATGAATTATCAAGCACATAAAGAATTATTGAATTCGAACCAGTAGTTCCGGAGATTAGCGCATTTAAACAAGAAAACTCCTTAGCTTTACAATATTAGCCTAGATACCTATTTCAATTTCTTTTGCAATGTCAGGATCAAGACCAGCTGCAGCTCTTTTGTTTTTTCCTTTTTTCATATCACGATGGCTGTGTATATCTCCATTTATCATCACTTCTAATACTGATGGTGATATTTGACCTGCTTTAATGGCTAAAACAGCAAATTAATTATACGAGATACTCCAGTTATTAAGTCTCTAGTTACAGTTATAATGACTATTATAGATGTTATATTGTGGGTTTAATTTTCACAATTTGCTATACATAATGTAACTATTTCTCTGTCATTGATAGCCGTGATCAAATACAAGTTACACAAGTCACTACAATATCGAATATTGTGTTGTTCTTACCTCTACAAATTTGTTTCAAAATCTTAGATTCGCCATTTTTCCTTCCAAGTCTTTTAAGTACTTCGTATTTGTCTAACACTTCACCCATTTTTGTTGATTTCTGTTTAAAAGGTTGTTCCGGTGGGTCTTTGTTAATGATGTTTTGTATCACCGATGGTGGCACTAGACCTCTTCTTATGGCTACAATTGTAAATTATAATTAACATCAGTCTTGGTATTTGGTTATAAATTTCATCATCACCATCATCTGCTTATAAGTGCCCACTGCTGAGCAAAGGCTTCTTCTTACTCGGATATTTGAGCGTTAGTCACCAGGCTTGCTCAGCGCGGATTGGCCATTTCAAACTTATAATTAGGAAATATAAGTTTGAACTCGCTAAGGTCGAGGTTTCCTTCACCGTTTTTTTTTATGGTATAAGTCGGCAAACGAGCAGACGTATTATCTGATGGTAAGCAATCGGCGCCGCCCATGGACGGGTGTCCATGGGCGGCTAGCAACACCAAAGGAGTTACGAGTGATAGGGGAAGGGGTGGGATTGGGCCTCCGGTAACCTCACTTAAACGCGAAACACAACGCTATGGTTGTTTCACGCCGGTATTCTGTGAGGTCGAGCCGACCCATTCGTACCGAAGCTTGGCTGGCTCTCCCACACCTTCTTCTTTCTTCTTCTTCTTGTTTCTTAGTGGTGTCTAAATAAAAGTAACTTTGGTTTTTACCAGATTTCCAACGCGTCTTCTTATGCGTGGGAAGCGGGCGACCACAACAACAATATAATTTTTTTTTAAGGCAAAATAATTACATACCCTTACAAACTTCCTTAATAATATAAATTACACCATCCTTTGAACATAACTTTCTAATTATTTGATCTTTGGTAATTGGCTCCGGTAATTTGTTAGCTTCCTTCTTTTTCAAAAACTTGATCTCTTTATCTTTATTTAACATTATTTCAATGAGATATGGTGAAACTTTACCCAATTTTATTGCTAAAATATAATCAAATGTTTATAACAATCCCAATTTCATACGTAATGTTATGCTTTCAAACTGATTTAAATGTCGGTCTTACCATCGGCAATACGCTTAGTGATTTTATCAACACCTTCATCAGTGCTTAGATTGAAGAATATTTTACGTTTGCACATAGGTGTAACGTTATTTCTGCTGCCTATATAATCTAAAATTCTATTCTCATTGAGTGCTTGATGTACTTCATTATTTATCACAATGTCTAGAAGCGATGGTGAAATATCTCCTCTTCTTATAGCTATTAATAAAAATAAAATTGTTTTTTGAGAAAACTGGTATCGCATATAGATTTTTTTTTGTGAGGGGAAAATCATCAAATGACTTCTCCCGCCCAGGGCCGGGAAGGAGGGAGTGTCAGACCCTTACTGACTAAAAACCCCCCTGTTCCTTCTCCTGCTCTGTGCCGAGGTCGCGGTGCCTCATTGCGCTTACCCCGCAACCCCGGCTGAACATCAGCCCTTTAGGGCCCCGTCTGTGGTGGTCGAATGGCTCTTTAAGGCGCGCGCGGAACGCTACGCGCCGTACGCTCGGGCCTGGTTCTGGTCGGGCGGCGAGCTGCCCTTACTCGCCGACCGCAGGCCCGTGCTTACGGTGGCCGGAGATCGTCCCTTGATCGCATATAAATGGCGATGTAATTTCTAAAATCTTACCTTTACGAATAGCATATACAATTTCAGCCTCGCCTCCCTCGCTGCCTAATTTGTTAACTATTTCATTCTTTTTCAAGTGCACCACTGCTGATTTGCTATCATCTAGTTTCTTTTTTTTAATAGGTTTATGATTTTTCTTTTCTAAGTCATATGGTGTCATGTGATGTTTTTTCATAGCTTAAACCGTAAAGTAAATTATACTTTTAAGAAAATTAAGAACTGAATTGATGTAAATATATATGTCTATTATGTTCTAGCTCTGCCTGATTAAGACGCCATGGGAACATTGCCAGTAGCTCAGGCCTGGCTACTTCTGTTCCCACTGCTACACTCAGAAACATTTAATGACTACTCAAAGTATCCCTTAGTATCTAATTATATTATTTTAAAATTATAGCTTAAGTCTCCTTAAATAAGTAACCTTAAAATAATCCTGATAAAGTCTTATTACCTTTTCGTAAACTCTTAGCAGATTCGTGTTTTCCACTGCAAATCGTTAAATGAGTCAAACTTCGAATTTCAGCATCTGACTTTAATGATGGTTTTATTTTTAATTTTGGACTATCGATCGCTTTTTTAGATAAATGTATACCCATTCTTTTTCTTCCCTTTTTACCTGAAATCATTTTTTTTTTGTATCTTTGGTTATTGTTTTGTATGTTTTTTTACCTATATAAAAAAAAGTAAAAAACATGGGCCGAAATTGATAACTGGCTGGGGCCTAATTCAAAATTCGATTTTATTTTATGACAGAAACTCATGAAGTAGAAGTCCATGAAGAGTTTCCAAAGTCAAAATGATTTTGCATTGCAACCGATGTTATTCATTTATGCTGGTCGTTTTTAATTTAAAGGTTCATTGATTTCAGATCTTCGACAAAACTATTGCAAATAAACTATACCTACATACTTTAATGTATCCATCATAAGTGGCAGTACCTTTTAAAAGTTTGATATTCCTTCTAGACATTCTTCTACTGCTCCAAGTCGGCAAAGTACTTTTCAATTCCTTTTCAGATTTCAAGTCTGGAATACTTTTATATTTATTTTGCAGCGGTCTGTAGAAAGAATGGTGACTTTTCACTTGTTTTACCAAACGAGGTGTAAACGACGAGGCCCGCATTTGCTTTGGTTTGCCTAAAATAAAACCGATATGTACATATATTGGAAGTCAATGGGGGAGGCCTATGTTCAGCAGTGGACGTCCTGTGGCTGATATGATGATGATGATGATGAGGTATATATTTATTATATTTGTTGGAATATTTGTAGTGAACATTTTATACCAAGTTTTCTTTATGCATTATTACCTTTTACACAAGCACAATGACTTCCTGATGGTAAAATATTATTTATTTCTTTTTCCGACTTTAAAAATGGTATGCTTCTTAATTTCTCCAAAATGGATTCATGCCTTTCATGATCAATACTTTTAACTTTTTTCAAGACAGGGCGAGACTGATGCTGCTTGAAACTTTTCTTTCCTGTAATGGGAATGGTAAATAGCTGAACGAAATATTGGCTTTCTTTTTTAACAACCTATGATAGCGTCGTACATCCAGCAGTTGCAAGTGCGTTGCTGGTCTTTTGGGGATTAAAGATTGGATGTTTGAGGGATTTGGGGATGCGCGAAAGGGACGATTGGGTCTTTGGTAACTTCACTCATATTTCGAAACAAAACGCCAATTGTTTATCTGAAAGGCTGCTATTCCGGTTGAAACGACCCGTTTCTGGTGAACCATTACTCTGTCACACTTGAACTTGTATAATTTTTCACTTTTTTTTTAGTTTTTCTCCTTACCTTTTACATGACTGTAGTTACTTCCAGTTGGTAAAATATTCTTTATTTCTTTTTCCGATTTTAAAAATGGTATGCTTCTTAATTTTTTCAGAAAGGATTCGTGTCTTACATGATCTATACTTTTAACTTTTTTCAAAGCAGTACGTGAAGGATGCTGCTTATATTTTTTCTTTGCTGTAATCATGAATAATATGAATGGTACATTATTACTCTAAAACGCTTTTTTGTATTAAGTTGAGGATGCAAATGTAATGACGGCCTTTTGAGGATGGGTACGGGGAAGGATTGGGCCTCCGGTAAACTCATATGGTTTAACCTTTGTTTTCTATAAGGCCTTGGTATCTGGTATTCCGGTTGAGACGTCCCATTCATTTCCATATAACGTTATGTTAAAAATAAAAGTTTTAGAAAGTTTTTCTCTTGCATTGTTACCTTTCACACAACTACATGCTGTAGGTAAAATATTCTTTATTTCTTTTTCTGACTTCAGAAACGGTATGCTCCTTAATTTTTCCAAAATGGATTCATGCCTTTCATGATCAATACTTTTAACTTTTTTCAAAACATTACGTGAAGGATGTTGCTTAGAACTTTTCTTTGCTGAAATTATGATGGAATATAGTCTTTTATACAAAACGGCTTTCTATTTTGAGCTACTTTCAAAAAATTAGCTTACGTTTTTAAACAGGAATTAAGTATTTGAGAATTATGAGATTCAAATATGGGGTAGGGAGAAGGATTGGGCCTTCTGTAACCTCATTCCCACGATGAAACACTGAGGTTGAGGTTGTAATAATACTTCGGTTAAGCCGACCCATTCGTAAGGAAACATGGCTCCCCAATAGGTACTTAAAATATAATCTTTTTGTAGAAAGAAATACTTAAAAAGTTGTTATCATGCATTACCTTCTACATTACTGCAGTTGCTTCCTGTAGGTAGAATATTCTTCAACTCTTTTTCCGATTTAAGATATGGTATGCTTCTTAATTTTTTCAAAATGGATCTACGTCTTACGTAATCTGTACTTTTGTCTTTTTTTAAAACAGTACGCGACGTATGTTGCTGGCATTTATGCTTCGCTGTAATTAATACGAATGGTCAATATTTACACAAAGTGTTTCTTTCACAACGGTCTGGTTAGATGATATGTACTGAATAAATTTAAATATGGAACAAAATTATTATTTGCTATGCGCTTCATAAACTTGTAGGGTTATAAAAAAAGGCTGTAAAACAGCTTCTTGAATTTAATTTACTTTATTTAAGGCTGATTTTACAACAGTCAGATAAATGTTTCGGTTCCACACAACAAGTGAAAAGATATAAAGAACGACTGGCAATACATCCAAACAATCTAGCGAAAACATTAATGACAAGAAGACTCACGACTAGAAGACTGAAAACAAAACCTTAGGATCTTATAACTTAACAATTTGAATATTTTAATAAAAGGGCCTTCACGCCCAGTTTTGTATCCAACCAAAGTATAGCTTATTGTCCGCTCAAAAAGACAGATTACAGTAATAACAGGAAGAGAAAAGAATCGGATCCAAAGGCTTAACCTTGATTGGTTTTTTTATATACTTCTTATTTCTCACCTTTAACGCGACGGCTTTTACTACTTGTAGGCAAAATGTTCTTCAACTCCACCTCTGATTTTAGAAACGGTATACTTCTCAGTTTCTTTAAAATCGATTCATGTCTGCTATGATGAATACTTTTAACTTTTTTTAAAACTGTACGCGAGGATCGTTTCGATCGCGTACCCTTTATTTTCGCTAAAATCAATTTTATTTGAAAGATGATTCCAAACATTTAATCTAGGCTGTATAACTGTGATCAGTGCCCAACAAGGTATGGCATGGATCAGGACGTTCTAGCGAGTTAAGAAACACATCGGTGATCTTGAGTATAATAATAAAAAAAAACAGTTTTATTCCCTTTCGAACTGTCTATTAACTCTTACATTGAAATGTCCAAATTTTACGACAGCGTTTAGTGTTTTACACGAAATTTAGCACCAAATGTAATGCTTAGGCCGCTATCCCACTAGACGCTAGACGGCGTCAGCGCGGCGTCGACACTGCGCAAAGACAACGTTGACGTCAGTGCTAGTAAAACGCCTAGTGGGATAGCAGCGGCCTTAGGGTGGCAGAAGGAAAAGACTAACAGAATTGTTGAATGACACAATTTCTCACCTTTTCCAAGCATCTGCTTACTTGCTTTAATAGTACCACGACTATTGCTTCTTGTTGGTAGAACATTCTTTAATTCCACTTCTGATTTTACTAATGGTATACTTCTAAATTTCTTTAAAAGGGATTGATGTCTAGTTTCGTCTATACTTGTGACTTTTTTCAAAACTGGCCGCGATGTCCTGTTTGACGCATTGCCATTTGTCTTTGCTGAAATTTTAATTGTGTCGTGGTATGGAATGCCTTGCCTTTTGGCGATTAGAGATTTTTGGTTTGCGGCGAGAGGGAGGGGGGAAGGGGATTGCGCATCCTCACTCATACGGCGAAACACTATACAAGCCTTGTTCCAGACCAGTTTATTTATGGCACATATCGGCAAACGAGCAGAAGTATTAGCAGACCTAGTTATAATCGGCACCGCCCATGGAGACATGCACCACCAAAAAAGTTACAATAACTGCGTTGCCAGTCTCTTGTAAGTTATTTGGGATTTCAGGATATGAGATTTAAGGTTTGAGGATCGGGGGAAGATTAGACCTCCGGTAACCTCATTCACATGACGAAACATAACTTAAGTATTGTCTGGGAGGCTGTGGTTTCACTTTGTTCGAGCCAGCGCTTTCTTGCTTAAGCATGGTTCTTCCAAACATTTATATTTCTGTAAAGCCTGGTATCGCTTTGGTCGAGCTAGCTCACATTTCTATTGGAATACATATTTTTTGGTTAAATATTTTATATTTTATTTGATTACCTTTTCCATGAAGTGACTTAGTTTTCTTCATCATTCTGTGACTTGTACCGCTGTGACTTCTAGTTGGTAAAATATTCTTTAATTCCACTTCTGACTTCAGAAATGGTATACTTTTTAATTTCTTTAAAATGGATTGATGTCTACTATGATCTATACTTTTTACTTTTTTCAAAACTGTCCGCGATGGCCGTTCCGCGCTATTGCCCTTTCTTTTCGCTGAAATAAGTGTAATTTTACAGTTATAGTTTTTTTGATAACTTAATTAGTTACATTTGCTAATCCTTGACTTACATTTTTTAACCAGACGCAGACCGTGTTTCCTTTGACGTGGAACGTTTTTCAAGTCTGTTTCTGAATTTAGGAACGGTGTACTTCTCAATTTGTTCATAATGGATCCGTGTCTTCTATTATGTATTCCTTTCACTTTCTTCATAGAAGTGTGTCGTAACCGATTCTTACCCTTTATACCTGGAAAAAAGAAGTAATAGGCGTAGGTAGGCGGCAAGTAGGGATAGATCGCCGCCCGACCAGAACCAGACCCGAGCGAGCGACGCGTAGCGTTCCGCGCGTCATCAACGAGCCAATAGACAAAAAGGCACCGCGGCCTCGGCCTAGAGTAGGAGAAGGAACGGGGAAGTTTTTATTAAAGCAAGTGTCCGACACTCCCACCGCCTCACCCTCGGCGGGAGAAGCCATTTGATGATTTTCTCCTCACAAAAAAGGTATTTACATATATGTAGATATTTCTAAAATGAGATTAGCTAGGATTTAAAATTTCCTTACTTATTTTAATCATGCTGTGACTGATGCTGGTTACAGGTAAAATATGTTTTATTTCTACTTGTGATCTTTGAAATGGTAAACATTTCATTTTGTGCACCCAAGATTCTTGTCTTGTATTATCTGTACTTTTATTTTCTTTCAAAACTACACGTTGCAGCAGATTCTTTCCGTGTTTCTTGGCTGAAATAAAATCCAAATCAATCGAACTTCAGAGGAACAACAGGTGTAAGCGTTACTAATAAAAGTTTTCGAATGAGTAGGTAAGACCAAAACTTGTGAAAACACTCGTACCCGGTTTCTGAAAGGCTTGTCAACGCTAAAATTAACTAATCTCCTATTAAATCTCTTGTCAAGTCATCTGATTGGTTGTTGCAACAAGAGATTAAATAGATTTTAACATTGATCGGCCTTTCGGAAACCGGGGGTCAGAAAAGTACAAAGAGTAACAATTTATCAACTATTTTCCAAACATTTTTAAGTTCACCTTTTCTACTTGTACTACGGTTATATCTTGCTGTAAGCAAAATATTCTTTAATTCTTCTTCTGATTTCTGTGCGAGTTTACGTCTTATTTTCTTTAAAATGGTTCCATATTCAGCGCTGTCTGTTGCTAATTCCTTGCATTTTGTCTTAGCTGGAATTTTAAAGATTCCGCATTATAAACCCATAAAATTAAAAAAAAAATCTAAGTGTTGTCTAACTTTTTTGTCCTTAGTGCATTTACTTTATTTAGTTAATACATCCTTCAATTCTGCTTCAGACTTTTGAAACGACATACTTTTTAATTTCCCTAAAATGGGTTCACGTTCCACATGATTCTTACCTTTGACTTTTTGCAAATCCGAGTGCGGCGACCGTTTCTCGTCTTTTGTATTAGCTGTAATTAAGAAGTCAGATATTACAACCCTATCGATAGATCAAAAAATAAGTAAAATTGGCTTACTTTTTTTGGCAACACTGGCGCTACTCGCTGTAGGTAAAACATTCTTTAGTTCGACTTCCGACTTTATAAATGGTACACTTTCAGATTTCTTGAAAATTGATTCACGTTTTGCTTGGTCTGTATTCTTGGCAGCTTCATTCTTGGCAGCTACATTCTTGGCAGATACATTCTTGGTGGCTACATTCTTGGTGGCTACATTCTTGGTGGCTACATTCTTAGCGGCTACATTCTTGGCAGCTACATTATTGGCATCTGCATTTTTGGCGGATACTTTCTTGGCGTCTGCATTCTTGGCTTTTTTCGAAATTGAGATAGACGACCGTTTCTTGCTATTTGCCTTTACTACAATAAATTTTACTTTAACATCAGACAAACCTTATTGCAATTTAAATTTTGACTTTTTAAGTAGTTTTGCTTAATTCAGTTGCATTCTCACAACTATGAGATAAAAACGTTTACCTGTTATAATCGTACTTGTACTACTACTGCTACTGCTTCTTGAAGACAATATGTCCCTTAATTCTTCTTCTGACTTAATAATAGATTCACATGAAGAATGAGAAGAATCATCAATTTTGCCTTTTTTCAGAAACGTGTGTTTAGGTGGTAATACCTTTTCTTTGTTCTTTGCTAGAATAATATCAAGTTTAACATCAGGCAACATCGTGCAAAAGATTAGCAAATTGAAATGGTTAGTGGGCATGGCACATTTGTTAAAGAATCGATGACTGTTGGGGTCTAGGTAAACATAGTGTAGGCACCCTACAGATTGGTTTTTTAGTCACACTCTTCAGATAGGTGGACTGTTATCCGTAAAGTAGGCCTGGTAGTGGTTTAATGAGAAGAGCTGAACATCAAGCTCTTAGAGACGTGCTATTCGAGAGGCCTATGTCCAGCAGAGGATGAAAACAGGCTGATGATGATGATAGTTTTATTCATAGTAAGAACTTCTTCACTATACACGACTTACGTTTTTTAATAAATTGAATGCCACTCCGCTTATTGCTGGACGAAGTTACCGAAGAATTCGTCCTCGACCGTTTTAAGGAACCTCGACGATAGTAGTCTGACAAGGATCTTTCCGAGTCAGAACTAGAACTGGTGTACTCTATATTCTGCATTTGTATCGGGGACTTATAAAACTGTCCACTTTTAATTTTTTTCTGATCGAATTTATGTATTGCTTCATTCCTCCTATCTTTCTTCTGTTCTATATTGGATGGTGGGATCTTGTCAATTTTTTTCGCTGGAAGAAATAAATACAAGGTAAGATCTTGTGATATGCTTGTGTTTGTCACGATGGAATATGATTTAATTTTCTCATTATTGATTTAATAGCACTACACGACGCTCGTACACGAACAATATTGATATTACCAGAAAAGCAAAAAATCTGTCTTATCATAAGTTATAGGAAGTTGTGTCTATTTTAATTGGGGAGTCAATTTTATTCTAATAAATTTCGTTGTTTTTCTTTTTCTGGTAATAGCTAGCTAGCATATTTTCAAGGCTACGGCGTACATGCTAGGATACAAAATAAAATTCAGGTGGAACTCATCAGTGCTCAGCGTTTTGTAGTTTTACTCCACGGGTAAAACTACAAACTTCTTATTTTTCTCTTTTTGCATCTGTTCTGTAGTTGTAACTACTGTAATAACTTATAATCTCAAACCAACATAAAAACTGTTGCAGTCAATTTAAAATACTAAATAATAACCTTTTCCAACTTTTCTTAAAATTTTATTCTGTCCAACGTTAGTGTCGAATCTGATAATTATTCCCTTTTCATTCATCGGTTTTTTATAAAACCTTTTACTTTCAAGTCTTTTGCTTTGAGTCGTACGGAATGGTTCCTGTTTGTGTTGTATGGAATCCCGTTCAAGTTTCTTACTTATAGCTAATTCTATAAGTGATGGTGATACTCTACCCGTTTTGATAGCTGTAACAAAAATAATCACCGCATGGTGAACAAGGAATGAATATATATCTACTTTATGGATTTTATTCAATATAGTGCAAGCTAATCATTTGCTAACAAAAAGTTGGCGCCAACCAGAATAGGAGGAATCAATGGATCTTGATTTTTTCCGCCAAAAAAGAATAGAGCCATGATAATTAATTTCTAAGAGTTGTAAAACCCATAAGTTTGACTGGACGTACATATATAATAAAGCTCCTATGTGCCAATACAAAGATCTTGGTTTCAGTATTAACCTTGAGATATGGTAAAAGGATTATTCATTCCATTATTACTCTAAAATGCTGGTTACTTTCTCACCTTTACATATCTCTCTCAGGATTTCAGCATGTCCCTCTTCAGTTCGCAGTTTGGACATGATGTCATACTTGTTCCACGGTGGCTTGTCATACTTGCCGTTGTTTTTATCAAGACTTTTCAACATTTTCAAATATGATGGAGCTATTTCACTCTGCTTCATTGCTGCAATAATTGAACCGCAAAATTAGGTAAAAAGACAATATGAATCACAAACGACAATGCACTTAGTTGAATGAGGTGTTTTTTGCAAAGCCTCATGTTCACTAAGCAACAAGAATCTGACAGCGGGCTTTGCGGAACGACGTGATAGAAACTAGAGTAGCTTTAGGGGCAGCGACATTTCGTCGGCAATTATTATTAGTGATACTTCGTGCTATTGATTGACAAAAAATAACACACTTTAATATAGCATTCTGAGAGAAATGACATTAGGTGAAAAATTCGTATATTTTTGGTAAGTAACTTAATTAAAGTTCGATAAATAAAAAAAATATTTGAAATAACAATCTCGGGGTTCTCCGACGCCTGCGTTTACTTGTAGACCCATTTATTAAGTAAAGTGATTTAAACCTTCAAAGGTCACGCCAGGAATTACCAGGAGTAATCCACATGAGAAGTAACCTGTTGTGTGCCAAATGTTATGCCCTGTAAACGACCGTTATCTTCTACATACTCTCACCTTAAATAACAGATGGGATATTTGCATATTGGTAAAGAAATTATAAAAGGTATAACAATGTGATTGATGATAAAATACTAACTGAAACTTACCTTTATGAATTTTTATTAAACTTTTTCCTAGGGCACCCGTCGATTTTGGAGGTGGTAATTTAGTGGGAATTTTCATTTTGTTCTTCTGCTGTATTGGTGGTCTAGGGTGACTTAAAAAAGCTGTAAAATGTAATAGTTTTAGAGTGTTTATTACATAATTATCACATGCTTATCATGATTTTTAAACATAAGTGCAATTGAAAGTTATGATACTTAATATGAATTGTTACTCAAAAATGGTGACGCACCTTTTCGGATCTTGTAGATTAATCCAGAAGAACGTGAATAATTATTTGGCGAGGGTGTTATTGTACATTTACTTTTCGTTGATATTCGTTTTAAGCTTCCAACATTTTTTCTTGCTGAAAAATATAAAATCAGCGGTTAAAATGATTATACTTTTAATTATAGGTATTGGTAAATTTGTTTAATAACAATTAAACGTTCCGTTAATACGAGTAACTTCGTCATTTTAGTTATGTATTTTAGAAAAGATTATTTAACATTTATTAGAAACTCATTTTCTTGACCTACTAAAACTTTCCCTAACATTAGTGCTCACACATTTCTCATATCATTTGATGATGTATTGTTTCATGTCATTGTATAATACTTATAAACGTAATGATACCTCGAGAGATTTTCTTCTGCGTTGGTTTCACGACATCTTTTACAGGTTGGCACGGTTGCACACAGATTTTACTCGCTATAGCTTGTGATCTCGATGAAACTATTCTACGAATTATATCTTCTGTCTTCAACATTCGACCTGTATTTTTATCAATCATCAATTCCATGATTGACTTTGTTATATTTCCATCTGCAATATCTAAAATAACAAATGATGTTATTTTATTATGTTTAACTTCTTTCTTACACGAATGTATAAGTACCTATTATATCAATTGATCTATTGCTTTACGGCAAATGTATTCAAAAGCACCTCCTGTGGAAAGTAGTATGATATTTAAGTAAAAATATATGTGCTAACCTTTCAGCGTCTTTTTTACTTGGCAAAGTAATTCTTCTCTAAAAGTTTCAGCTTCTATTACGGCATTATGATGGAGACCTGGGCTTTCTCTTGAACCAATCCCATATTGGTTATTTTCATCATTGTGTATATGTTTACTTAAGTAATGCCAGGATTTTAAACCAAGTTCCCTAACCGCTCGGCTCATCTTACTCCCCAACGAAATAAAACTATGATTTCTTTTAAAGCTATAATTAGATAATTTTATTCCAAAATCAAAGTCTTTTAATATGTCTAATCTTCCTTTTTTGCTAACTTTTGAACAGTTCTGATCGTGTAGTTTGTTAGATTTAAAAACACCATTAATTAAATTCTTTGCTTCAGACGATTCCTTCCCTTTTCCGACTAAACAGCGTACTGAGGATTTCGTTTCACTTTGCCACCGTACTCTTGTATATTTCTTTGGAGATTGTGAACGAAATGATGACTTGTGATTTTCTTTTTTTTCGTACTTACTAGATATTTCAGATTTTAGATCATTGGATTTTTGGGATACATTTATCCCGGAAAGTGGCTGTACTAGATTGTTTTTCGAATAAAGTGTTATTGTTTCAAGTTTTTTTCTTTGTTTTTTATCGTCTGCAGAACTAGTATTTGTTTCGTAACTATTTTTGCTATTGTATTTTAATATATTATCACGTTTACAATCCTGCTCTTCTTTAAAATCACCTTCTGTTTTATTCATTATTTCCAGTTCAATGTTAGCTTTATAAGATTGTTTTATGTCTGATTTAATTTCATCGGCATTTTTGTGTTCCGACGCATTTTGTGTTCCGAATACATTAATATTTTTGTTTAATTTGATTGCATCAAATCTGTCATTTATTGGCTTTGCATGTTTTAAATAATAATTAACATGTTTTTTTATTCTAGGACTAGTGCTTGCAGAGTTAGAGTTATTAGAGGATACCAAAAGAGTTTGATCGCTATTGATTTGAAAATCTGAATTACCATCTTCATTTTCTATATGGTATTTATATTTTTTTCCGAATTCAATACTTGCATTATTAGATATTCTACTTCTATCTATCGTTTTCTTTTCATTAACATAGTTTGGCACCAATTTAGTGCCAAAATTATCAGCATCTAAAATTTCAGACTCTAATCCTGTTTTATGTAATTTTAGTACTGGTTTCATAAACATTTTAGCATTACTTTTTGATAAATAACCAAAAGTACAAGAAGATGTAGTTGTGGTAGTACTTTTTACAGGACTTTGACTGCTGTTAAGACCTACCCTCATTTTAGTGCGTTTATCATATTTTGATATCATGTCTCTTAAGTGGGGCATTATACGATTTACTTCATTTTCTTTATTTTTAATATCGTTTAGCATTCCACTACTGACTATCGACTTAGTAGTTGATGTATCTTTTGGAGTACTTTGCTCATCGCTGCATGTTTGTTGTTGTAAATCTTTATTAAGTATTTCCATCGCAGCAAGTAATAATTTGTTAATGTTGACTCGATGTTTTTCTTCAAATGTAACAAGAGAGTTTTTACTAGTGCCCAATTGTATATACTTTCCATATTTCTTATCGTGCGTTCCGACCGATTTTGTGTGATGTAAACTTCTTTTCGGCTTGAATTTCGTTGTGCTCACTGATTTTGATTTTATAGCTGTTTTGATCGTAGATGTTGATAGGTGTTTTATTTTAGTTTTAGAATTTACACCACAGCTACGTTTTTTTACTTTCAAATCTCTTGTTTTCAATATATTGTAATAATCTTGGTGAATGTTTGTATATGGTGATGAATATGTAAGATCTTTTGCAAGTCGTTTATCATTTTTGTTTTTAAGTCCATTGAATTTAGTTGATCTCGATATACGTCGTCGTTTTTTTACAAGTTTGCTACTACAATGTGGATTTTCATTACTACTTAAATATGAATCGGTAAAGCGTTCACTGGAGTAAGTCTTTATCAACGGTCTTTGAGTAGTTATGGCATGCATAACTAATGATTTACTTGTTCCAAACATGGGGCCTTTAGATTTACTAAACCTTCTTATTTGTTTTTGAATACTTCTCTCTCGTTTAATCGAGTTATTCATGATGATGCTTTGTATTGACTCAGTAAATAATAAGACTTTTTAATTTTATTGTTATCATTATCATTTTATGGCGATCTCAAGTCGTTTTCATATGGCTCGCTCGCCACCTGGAACAGAAATGTTTTTTTTTAATTAGTCAAATACGAATGCATTTTATTTTCATATAGAAAAACACTTGAGTTTAAATAATATATTTACGATCTACGCAATTAAATAATTATGGTATAACTATTATATTTTCTAATTCAAATTACGTATAGGTAAGTAGAATGAAAAGAATAGTTTTGGAGACTTACTACAACATTTTGTTATACTTAAGTTACTGGTATTTTATCATGTATGTCCAAACATTTGTAAAAACAGAATAATTAAATCTGAAACAAATAAAATTATAAAGAGGCAAACCGTAGGTACACAGGTGCAAAAGATCTTTGATGCCCATCTTTAAAAACAAAGGTGATGTCCTTGAGTGCAACAATTATAGAGGAATAAAGCTAATGTCGCATACCATGAAAGTATGGGAGAAAATTATTGAACGGCGGCTGAGAGAAGAGAGTGACATTTCACAGAACCAATTCGGTTTTATGCCTGGTCGTAGTACAACGGATGCCATATTTGCTATACGCCAGTTGTGCGAAAAATACAGAGGTGCACATAAAAACTTGCACATGGTATTCGTTGACCTCGAAAAGGCATACGACCGGGTACCTCGTGAGGTTCTGTGGTGGGCCCTTAAGGAGAAAGGTGTGCCTGGGAAGTATGTGCAGTTGATCCGATCAATGTATAGTCGCTGCAGTACACAAGTCCGGTCTGCAGCGGGCACCACTGGCAAGTTCAATGTGGCTGTCGGTTTACACCAAGGGTCGGCTCTCAGCCCTTACCTCTTCCTGATAATAATTGACGCTCTGACGTCGGACATTCAGGAAGAGGCTCCCTGGTGTATGCTGTTTGCCGATGATATTGTGCTGGTTGCCGAGAGTGCCCTAGAGGTCCAGAGCAGATTGGAGGTGTGGTGGCAAAGACTGGAGAGTGTTGGCCTAAAATTGAGCAGAACTAAAACAGAGTACTTGTTCTGCGATTTGGTATTTTATCATGTATGTCCAAACATTTGTAAAAACAGAATAATTAAATCTGAAACAAATAAAATTATAAAGAGGCAAACCGTAGGTACACAGGTACATAGCACTGCATTAAGTCCGCCTATGTACAGTGTTTTGTGCATGAAGTCTCAAATAAACAAATAAAAAATACATACGAATTATCTGCCGAAAGCATGCAAATATCAAATTAGTAGTTATGTAACAAATTGAAAGTATTACCTAAAAATCACACAGACCAGTTAAGATGTTATCATCATAAAAATAGTGGTTGGAATACAAAATACATACAGGCAAGAGGTATATAAGGTTCACCACTAAGATTAAAATTTGAAAAGTCTATCGATTTATTTGGGAGCAGATATAAAATGCGCTGAATTGTAAAATATAAATTTGTCTTCAAAACGTTGTTTTATGTAATAACTATCGTCTCAACATACTAAAGTAACGATTTACTCAAATTAATAAGCTGAGAGAAGATCTTCTTATTTCAAGTTACAATGAGACTCTCATTCTTTATTGGTGTATAGTACGTCATTTCACTGCGCACACTGCTTATGAATCAGATGTTTCAAATTAAGTCTACATTGACCATACTATTATTCTGACTCCTAAAAGTGTAGCTGAGGCCTTCCGTTGCACTAGCATATTGCGAAAAAACTAATTTATTTTTTGTACTTACCAAAAATGAACTAATTAAAAGTCTTCAAATTATTTCGCATGGCTAATTTTTTATTTCAAATAAAGGAACTCGACGAAGGGTGCCACTAAATGAAAACAAACTGCACATATGGCATCGAGCATAATAATAATTACGAATCTAGCCTTATAATATAAATATGCACTATTCTTAACACAACTGCCATAAATATAAATGTCAAAGGCGTCAAACTCAAGTATTTCATTCTCAATAATAGGTAATATCTTTGCAAAGATTACCAAGAAGTAGTTAGCAAAGAGTATAATATAATAAGTCTAAGCATATATAAATATATTAGTATATAGTATATTTAGTATAGTAACTAGTTAAGAATAGTGGTATAAATTTTAGAGCATTAAACATACAGTGGCTTTTAAAAATGTTAACAAATAAGTAGATGGAGCCAGAAAAATAAAACACCATTTATTTCAGTAAGTATATAATATATATAATATAAGCTAGCTATTTCGTCTGAAAACAATATTCTTCTATAATTTATTGAAAACAACATATAAGACTAGAAGAGAAATATTTAAATCTCTCTTTCCATAATCCGCTCGCAAAGATAACAATGATCTTGAACGAAACCTGTTAAATTTCACTCTATTTTGACTATTTTGATCAAGACGTTTTTTACTCGTCATTTTAATCTAAGGTCCTACATATTTCTAACCTTTTTTTTTGCGCCACGGAGAAAAATGCTAATACGCATATTCTTCCCGTCGGGGGACGGGAGAGGGATATGTGGGACTCCCCGGTAAAGTCGTTCCCGGTATACCCACTAAAAAACCCAGTGGCACTCCGGCCTCGCCCGAGTGGAGGGGGTCTGGGAATCCATGTCGTCCAGCCCCCCACCGGCGACTGCCCGCCTCATGGCAGGCCCCTCAATGCCCCCTAGCAGGGAGGAGCCTTTATGATGGCCGGAGCACGGGTGATTCGTGCGATGCAGACGCTTGTCGCCCGCTGATCACCCCCTGGAGCAGATGAGGACGGACGGGTAGTAACCGCCGTCTTCGTGCGCTCCTTCGTCGTTGGCGGAGCGACGCTGAGAGATGGTCTTCTTCCCGCACTCGCTCCGCTGCCTCCTTCTGTGACATGACGTCCTCACAGAAGGAGGCTACCGCTGCCCATGCCTCCTCACTCCCCAGCATGGATGTTACATATTTCTAACCTAACCTAACCAACCTTTATAGACTATTCCAATTCCATGAACTACCGTGTGCCCCGATATATCATAGTTATCGTCAGCCATTACCAGCTTGCTCACAGCACTCTAAGCAGAGATAGATCTACAACACACCACGTGACGAAAGTAAATAAGCAAAAATAATTACTTACCAAGAAATGACTTCAAAAAAATAGATTCTTAGTTTTTGTGGCAATTCTGACAGACCGTTTTAAAGGGCATCTAGGGCTGCGTTTTAAGACAGTAAAAACTAACCAACTGGCGATTTTATATCAGGGAGTGGGGGAAAGGATGGCCTTTCTTAAAGTGAGGGCGACTGTAACTTCATTGGTTTCATGGTGGTACATTGTAGATGTACGTAAGGAGTTATTTTAATGAAATCCTGAATCTAAACATCTGGATTGAAGAGCCACTTTATAACGTGGTCACCCTATACACTGAATTTACACGATAACATTTAAGTATTGTTTTTCAGGATCCAAAATCTTATATATAAAAATGGATCCCAGAATGTGTTGGTAAGCGCATAACTCAACAACGCCTGGACCAATTTTGCTTATTCTTGTTTTGTTGTGTTAATTATTGTCAGGACAAGGTTCTTATCAAGAAGATATTAGAAAAGTGACCCTTTAATAGCGAGATAGTTGGACCCGTGCGAAGCGGGGTCGGGCCGCTAGTAAATATATAGGTATATATGTATATACTAGATTGCTGAACTGTGCAGATATATTTAGCAGAAATTTCTGCTGTTGAAATCTCCGGTGGCTACAGTCAATCACATAGAACGTCAGGATTGAGGAACCAAAAAAATGTGTAGTAAATAAATTATATACAATTTGCTCTGTTTTAATTGGCTATGTGCGCTACAGTGGCGACGCGTAGCATTTTTAACAGTTGCGGAAGCTGTTAAATATTCAAAATGTACAATTTCTTTGCAAATATAAATTAAACCAAAGATTAAAATGGCACCAGAGGAGTCGCAGGTGCGTTGCCGGCCTTTTAAGGAATACGCTTGTTTCTTGAAGGTTTGAAGGTCGTATCGGTTCAGGAATACGGGGCAGAAAGTTTCTTTTTGTTTTTCATAAGGCTGCTGATTATGATATCTTATCTTACGATCTCTTGCTGATTTATGATATTAAAAAAATGTGCTTCAAACTCTATTGAATATACTTTAACCTGGGAGTTCATAATGAAATAATCCTTAAATCTCAATTTATCAATTCTTAACGTGTATTTTTAAAAGCCAATATACATAAAGCAATTTTTGGTTCAAGCTTGGAAAGAAAGAAAGAAAGAAAAAGTTTATTGACACAAACCATGTGCACACAGATATAGTAACAAAAAGGTTATTTAATATAAAAGAAAAAATAAAGAAAACTACATAACTGTGTGCCTCACGGCTGCGCCAAACAGGCCCAGTTCAGCATAAAAGCCAGACCACTTGGGCCTGACGCTGGTTTTCAGCTGGACCTTTGTGCATGACGTGCTACGAATGTAAACCAGCTTTAAAAATGTAGGTAGATACATAATCAATAAAAAAAATAAAGAAAGAAAATAGCTGAAATGGGGGTAGATATATAAATAAAATAAAAAGGAAGCGTGTACTAAATTGTAGTGAAGGTAATGTGTGACTAGGGAATGTGTGACTTAGTTTATATCATTACACATGTGTATGTACAAAGTCCCAACAATTGCATAACTCCGCCAAGTCTGTGTGTGTTGCGTGTTGTTAAGACCACCTTTGTACGTTTTGTTGCTTAAAGTTTAAAATAAATAAATAAATAAAAACGCAGGAACCTTAGGTTCACTAGCAAACTTGAATAGGATCATGATTCATATTATGTATATATCTGTGAAAGGACATTCCAAAAGAAAATACGTATAACGCTGATTTCCACTTGCTCTTTAATAATCGAATCCAGTACACATGCAACAACACGTTAAAGCTCTACAAACTTCGAAACAAAGAATACATGGGCTCCAAACACATATAGCTAAAAGGAACATTAGAACGTTAGCCAGTTGTTTCCATAGACCGAACAAACTCACACAATGTGGATAAAACCACGGACACATGCGATAAACACGCAGGAATGGCTTCTTCCTCAAAGTGTTCATATAAAGGCTGCCTTCATAGACAACAGGTTCTTTGTGACGCCTCCTTCTCCTTTTCTTCTTCATCCATGTTTTGGGGTCTGGATCAGTAAGGTGAACCAAATAGTTCGTAAAAGGATGCGATTCCATTTTTTTCTTTATCCTTTTTCCCATTGATGTCTGTATAGCTCTTTGTTTAACTCTTGCCACGGTTGGTTTAAGACCAGTTTCCCTGTAATTTTGCTGAACTTTTTTTATTACTGTCTTTGGATCCTGCTTGACTGCATACATAGTTTCGTGGGCATTATACATAGCATCTTTTGGATGTTTGGCAATCCTAGAAAAGCTTCGCATTGTATCACCTATAAAACGAAATCCAAAAGCCCCCATATCTTTAAGGGATTCTACGGCCATTATCGAAGCTGGTGGGCTCTTAAGTGATTTAATTTTTTTCATTTTTCGTCTGTCTTCTACCTCTCTTCGTCGTAATCGTTTCAAGTCTTCCAATCTATATTGTTTCCTGCGCTGTTTTCTAGCTTGCCGATATAATTTTTTTTTCATTTTAATCCTCTCTTTAACTCGCTCTCGCCGCGCAGCTTTCAATTTTCTTTTTGGCAATTTTTCAATTTCTTCTTCACAAACTTTGCTCCCACATACACAGGTTGGTATATCTTTGACTTTATGGAGATCTGATTGTTCCATCTTTAATTTAGACCAGTCTTTCTTACATATGTCGCTACCACATATACAAGGGTTTAGTCGCCGAGGCTTCATCTTAAATTTTTGTATGATTCTTTGTTGTTTATATTTGCGACAAAAACAACATTTGCACTGCTTACCATGCAGTTTTAATAACGCTTCGCCATCACTCATAGACACTAATCCTGCCCTATGTCTTCTTAACATTTCTCGTCGTCTTTCCTTCTTTAATTGACTGATAATTTCGTCAGAATTTATAATGCTTGCGGTAGTTTTGTCGACATGTATTTCCATGCGAGGTGGCGATGTCGGACCGGCTAGAGTGAAAAAAAGTAAATTATATATAATTACCATACCGGAGTATTAGTTTTTTAAATATAATTACGTCATACGAAGACGCAATAAAAGAAATTTCATCAAGAAATTATTAGTATTCTTGTATATTTTATGCAGAATAATTAATTTTAACTGGCACGGTGAAGTTATCGGAAACAAGGGGCAAATATAAGTGAACATTGGACGACATTGTTATTATCGCCCTGTCTCGCAACGATAATTTTTAGAGGTACTGAATGAAAAACAACGAAACCCACTAAGATAATCAATATTAAGTAATATTTATATTTTATATCGATTATTATAGAAAAGAATACCTTTTCGTCGCCTCAATGCTTCTGGTGTACTCAAAATGGGAAGCACTTCATCCTTGTTCAGTATACGCATATTTTGTCTTTGGACCATCATATCAAAAAGCGGTTTCTCAGACGCACGAGGTTTTTGACTAAGGCCAAGGGCTCTCCTGATCATTTTAAGACGATTTTCATCAATGTCTTCTGGTGGTATGTAAAAATCTGCAACAATATCAGGTGACTTGATGTCAAGACAAGTTTAGTAGCGAAATCTATCAAATTTAAAACCTTGTACTGATTCAATAAAGAATTATTATTATTTATTTATCGAGATCACCATTTTTGATTATAATTAATTCCTTTTTTTACACCTTAAATGTAAACAAGGGTATTATAAGTTGCCTGCCTACGATATCATGGCATACAAACGGACGCGAATGACTTCAATTCAGTTCATTCAAAGTAAAAGACTAAACACAGAATTTTTATATTATAATTTTAAGATGAAAATACCTCCTTGAGTCCTCCTCGGTGCTGTTGTATTATAGCGACGAGATTTCAAAATGGGAAGTATTTCGTCTTTGTTCAATATGCTCATATTGTCTTTTTGGACCAACATTTCAAAAAGCGGCTTCTCCATCACAACTTGTTGTTTTGGTCTACGCGCCAATGCCTTCCAGATCAGATCAAGACGATTTTCAAAATCACCTTGCGATGCATCGCGATCTGCAACAATATCCTTGGGCGTCTACGCACACATTACGTGAATATAGTAGCCCTGTATGTTCCCCCGAGAACAAGGTGAAGCCGGGGCTGCGGGGTAGGCGCATAGTGGCACCGCGGCCTAACCTTGAGCAAAAGAAGGAACGAGGGTTTTTAGTCAGTAAGAGTCAGACACTCTCTCGTCTCCACCCTGGGGAGGAGAAGTTTGATGATCTTCCCCTGACAAAAAAAGGTCACGGTGGTCATACGGTAGCGGTTGGCCCGCCTAGACTGAGCACTGCCGTGTCCTCAGAGAAGTGATCATCGGCGTCAGCTTTATCTTAGCCTCCTATACCTACCTCCTAACACCTCTACACCCCAGCCACACCCCGGGCGTCGGGGATCGGACAACAACCTCCGGCCACTGTAAGCGTGGGTTTGCGGAGCGCGAGCAAGAGTAGCTAGCCGCCCAACCAGAGCGTACGGTGCGTAGCGTACCGTGCGTGTCTCCAAGAGCCAGTAGACCACCACAGATGTAGCCCAACATTGCCAATTTTCAGCCGGACTGGGCGGGGCAAGCGCAATAAGGTGCCGCGGCCCCGGCCTGAACCAAGACAAGGAACAGGGTAGTTTTCATTCAATAAGAGTAGGTATCTATGATGACTTTACCTCGCAAAAGTGCCTCAGATCTGTCTGACTGATTTTATTTTACAAAATGTGACATGTATTAAGAAGCTATTTAATATTGAAAATCTCATTACCTTATGAACTCATACCAACAGAGATAAGACAAGAAGAAAAGTGAGGTAATTAAAAGTGAAGTATTTTGAAGGTATAAAACATTCAACGTATAACGGTTCCAATCAGACTCATTATACAGGGTGTAAAAAGACACTTAACGAAGCCGTTAACTACGCATACTGCAGTTGTAACTAAGTAGATTTACGCTAAAATTGTCACTGGGAAATGACTTTTATTTTTAGGTAACAAAAAAAAATAAATTATTGCGCGCAATGTAAAGCAAACGGGCTTCGTGTCATTGTGTGTGTAGGTTCACAGCTTAGCATTAAAACGCTGTGATAAGTACGTAGGTCGACGTTTTACTTCGCAACAACAAAACAATTCTGTAAAATAAAAATCCTACTGAGATGCACGATGTTTTTTGTTGCGGGTCTGCATTTATTCATTACCTACGTACATTGCTGTTCGTAACTTCAAATGCGTAATTTATTTAGAAAAATCGAAAATTCAGGTAATGTTTGTTTGGAAAAAAGTTTTGTAATAATACTTAGAATTCGATTGCGCAAAAAAAGAAAAATTAAAAATGCATCTTTGACCTGCAATATCTCGAAAACCCGTGAAGTCCCAGCTATGGTCTTCAAGAAAAAAAATATCCAAATAATGGGTAGAATACGTGGCTTTCGGCTTCGTTAAGTGTCTTTTTACACCCTGTATATATATTAATACAAATGTTAAATCGGTTTCTGAAGTATAATATCGCATTTTTTATTTTCTTTTATCGTGATAGGTCGGCAAACAAGTAAACGGATTACCGGTACCGGAACTGTAAGTAATCGGCCTCGCCCGTAAACAACACCAGAGGAGTTGTGAGTGCGTTGTCGGTCCTTAGAGGATTAGGGTTTCAAAGATAATAAGAATTGTGAAGAGATTGGGGGAGGAGAAGGATTGATATACTTTTGACGCTTATGTTGTTCAGCTACTTTTGGGAGAGTGTTTGCTAGACCTTAATAATGTATGTTCACACGTAAGTATCTACATATTTCAAAACTTATTTACAAATAAATTATATTTTATTGTCAGTAATCATACTAATCTATAATTTATGAAATAACATAAACATAACTCTAATGATCTACGAAGTGATTTTTGTGACGGTACTTGTAATTTACTTTGCGCAAATCTTACAAAACCTACCTTCCTTTAATTTATTATTTTTACCCGACTACGGCAATGCTAAAATTTAAAGAATTCGACATATGACATATCATTAGAAACGTCTTAATTGTCCGCTGGTTATAAGTTATATGATGTATTACAAAATCTAATGCGGCGTCGTCTAGCGGGCAAAACAACCAGAGTAAAAAAATAAAGTTAAGATAATTATACCGTGTTTGGTATCATTTTAAAGCGCTTTACCTACTTGTACATTTTGAATATATATATATATATATATATATTACTAGCATTTTTTGGTGACTTTGCTTGTATTCTTTTTAACTGACTTCCAAAAAAAGGAGGAGGTTCTCAATTCGACCGTATATATGCTTTTTTTTTATTTTTTTATGTTTGTTCGCCGATATCTCCGTTATTTATGAACCGATTTTGATAATTCTTTTTTTATTGGAATGGAGATAGTCCCGGAATGGTCCCATGAAGGAAATCAGGATCTGATGATGGAAGACCAAAGAAATCGAGGGGAACTTTCAAAAATTGTAGGGGCGAGTGGTGCTTTTGCATATTTCAGTAGGCTTTTGACAAATTTACAACTTGCTGATGTTCGAACCCGACCTGATGATGGAGCCGGAAGACAGTCGAGAGATCTCCTTGACTATTTGGAGTAGTTGCCTTGTGTTTGGGCTTGAATGATTCGTATTGGTGAGTACTTTGCACCAAGATTGGTCGTGACTGTCATTAAGGGTCTGATGATGAGAACGATGGACAGCTCAGGGAACTCCTGAACGGTTTACAGTAACTACCTCGTGTTTCGACTTCATTCATTTATATCGATGAAAACTTTGCACCTTTATGGATTACAATGAAGTTATGCAGTAAATTGTGATGATGGAGCCGGAAGATAGTCGAGGGATCTCCTTGACTATTTGGAGTAGTTGCCTTGTGTTTGGGCTTGAATGATTCGTATTGGTGAGTACTTTGCACCAAGATTGGTCGTGACTGTCATTAAGGGTCTGATGATGAGAACGATGGACAGCTCAGGGAACTCCTGAACGGTTTACAGTAACTACCTCGTGTTTCGACTTCATTCATTTATATCGATGAAAACTTTGCACCTTTATGGATTACAATGAAGTTATGCAGTAAATTGTGATGATGGAGCCGGAAGACCGTCGTGGGATCTCTTGGAGTATTTGGAGTAATTATAATGTGTTTGGACTTCATTCATTTATATTGATGAGAACTTTGCACCTATATATATTATGTATAATAAAGGCCAGCAGTACACCTGATGATGGAGGTCATTGACATTTGAGGGAATTCCTCAACGATTTACGGCACTGAAAGCTGACTAACTCAGGACTGCCATTACCGTGATTTTCGGTCTCAAGTAGCCGTCGTCTTCTCTTTTGAGAGTATCCTAGCTTTCTCTGCCTATCACTTAAAATGGTGAAATAAAATATTTTTTAACAAAAAAAAACCGACTTCAAAACGTAAACTAAAAAGCAAAAAATAAATTTACTTTGTTTAAAGTAATACATATTTTCCTTTAGTTAAATATACTATTTTATAATTTTGAAGTCGGTGCCATGTAAATACTACATACCAAACAATAAGAGTATTAGAAAAATATATTGAATACTACTAAATTATCAAACTAGCAAGAGGTATGTAGGTAATATCTTTACACTATTATTCTTTTACTTTGCACCGACTTTAAGATTATAAAATAGTTATTAAATATTATTTTATATTTAACTAAGTGAAAATATGTATTACTTTAAACAAAGTAAATTTATTTTTTGCTTTTTAGTTTACGTTTTGAAGTCGGTTTTTTTTTTTGTTAAAATATTTTATATTTTATTTTTTTATTTATTTCTTCTTCATACAAACAGTGTGAATGGCGGACTTAATGCCTTAAGGCATTCTCTAACAGTCAACCATAGGGCAGTGCAGAGAATTTTTGCGGTTGGTGCGAAGCAAGGACACAAAGTCCTAGAACAGGATGAAAGGGGAAAGAAAAAGGAAGAAACAAACACGATTCTTTACACACAAATAAATAGATATGCATAAAATAAGTTAACGAATACAATAAATAATACATGTTAAGTATGGATATATTGAAACATACATACTATAGTATACAGATATACATATACATATATACATACATACATAATATTATCTAGATGGGAAAAACCATGTCGAGACTAGTTACCACATCTGTTTTGTGTCTGCCAATCCTTAAATAAATGCTCGTGGACTTTTAACTTGAACGAGTAGCGATTTGTGGCCATTCTGATTTCCTTCGGAAGCGCATTCCATAGAAGAACAGCTTGGATGAAGAAAGAAGAATGGAAGAAGTCAGTGCGATGGGTGCGACACTGAAGGTGTCGATTGTGGGAAGACCGAAGAAATTTTGAATGGTTTGCGCAAGTATATTGAAAGTAAGGGGCGAGGTAGCGAGGCGAAGAAGGAGAATCAAGGTAAGAGAATAAAGTTGTAAGTGCCCTCTGTTGTCTGCGCAAACGTATTGGCAGCCACTTAAGTTGCATCCTACGTGCAGAAACATGATCATATTTGCGTAGATTGAAAATGAATCGAATGCAGTTATTTAGAGTTCGATCAAGTTTATTGAGCAGATCTGCATTCAGGTCATAGTAACAGACATCAGCGTAATCAATAATGGGGAAAATCGAGGCCTGCACCAGCTGCGTCTTCGCGGATGACGGAAGAAAGTTCTTCAGGCGATACATAGCCCTCAACGAGCCGGTCACCTTCCGGCAAACACTGGTGACTTGGGGTCTCCAGCTCAATGTGCTATCAATAAGCAGCCCAAGGTCCTTTACTTCTTGACTGAATGGGATAGTCACGTCATTATATAAGAGAGGATGTAGGTTTGTACCATCAACCAATCTCAAATTCCGAGAAATACCTATTATTGAGGCCTGGCATTTATTAGGGTTCACGGCTATACCGAACCTGTCTGACCAGTTTTGGATAGCCGCTAAGTCTCTATTTAGTTTGCAGACAGCAACGGGCAGATCATCCACCGCAGCCTGACAATACAGCTGCAAGTCATCAGCATACAGATGGTACGCACACTGAAGTTCCAAAGTGATGAAGTTAATAAAGATAGAGAAAAGAAGTGGTGAAAGAATGCCGCCTTGGGGAACGCCAGCCTTCAAGTCACACCAGCTAGACAAATTGTCATCGCACTGGACCGACTGCTGACGCTCCTGAAGATATGAAGAAAACCATTCCAGTGACTTGTCGGAGATCGCAAGATGAGACAGGATTTCTAAAAGGATATCGTGACTGACCATATTGAAGGCGTTCGAGAAATCAATCAATACCAAAACAGTTACTTTTGTGTCCTCCATGCCCGCCCTTATATCGCCAGTCACTTTAAGGAGGGAAGTTACGGTGCTGTGGCCTGGTCGAAAACCCGATTGCAACGGGCTTATCAAACAATGTTTGTAAACAAACTGGGATAGCTGTTTGTGGACACAAGCTTCCAGCACCTTGGATAGAAAGGGAAGGATTGAAATAGGACGGAAGTGGGTCGGACGAGTAGGATAACTGACTTTCGGTAAAGGTCGTACAAAGGCCTTACGCCATACTGATGGAAAT